TGGCCCTTCAAAAGGCATAATAACGCCTTTTTGAAAGGCGTATTAATACCTTTTAAAAAGGCGTAATAACGCCTTTTCGAAAGGCATAATAACGCCTTTTGGAAAGGCGTTATAACGCCTTTTTAAAAGGCGTAATAACGCCTTTTGGAAAGGCGTAATAACGCCTTTTGGAAAGGCGTAATAACGCCTTTTGGAAAGGCGTAATTACGCCTTTATTTGCGTTATTACGCCTTTTTCCGCGTTATAACGTCTTTTCAAAAGGCGTTATTACGCCTTTTTTCGCGTTATAACGCCTTTTGAAAAGGCGTTATAACGCCTTTTAAATTTTTTTTTACCGTAGTTTGATCCTAATAGGCTTTCGTATTTTTGTTTTGTTTTGTTTTGTTTTGTTTTGTTTTTTTTTGCTTGTCAAGAAATTTTTGGGTTGGAATTTTTTTTGACTGGGGTGGACCCCCCCCCCCCCCCTGGAAAAAACTCCTGGATCCGCGGAATTCTGCCTGCAAAAAGTAATTTAAAAGTTGGTATAAATGATGTGTTTTTTTTTTTTTATTGAATTTAAGATATCTTTAGTTAGTTATAAAATACTTTGAGGAATTATTCAATTATTGTGCGGATTACTAGTAATTGATTTGTTGTACGCATCAAATTGAATTGATGGAAGCAATACTTGAATATACACGCATCAGATCCAATTATTAAGTGTCTTCTTCTATGATATGCGCATCAATTTAGCAAAATCATTAATTATAAAAACAATTGAATTAATGCGTGCAATTATTCATAATTGATATCCTTTATTTGAAAAGCTCTTCATATTAATTGTTGCGCGCATTAAATGCATTGAGATATTTTCAGATTATTAAAGATATCTTCCGACATTTTTTCTTGGTTTATGTAAATTTGGTGCTTCATATAACGTACGCATTGAAATTTAGTAATCATTAATAATTCCTTCTATCAGGTGGTCTTTTTTCTTTAGTTTTCTTACAAAGAATGATAAAATGACTTTTTGTAAATAGAGTTTGGCTTTGTGACACAATCATAGATAACTTTCAAAATGTGGCACATGTAAAGAGTTATTTTTCTTTACTTATCAATTATTGTCGGTCTCTGTTGACAATCAAAACTGCCTCTCTTTAGTATATGTGTCTTAAACTGAAAGAAAATGTGGTGGTTTGTCTTGCTTCTATAGAAAGTTAGTAACTGTTTACTAAATTCTTGATTATCAGGGGTCAAAATTGAGAGTCGCTTACACAGGTGCTTGTGGACAGGAACCCCCCCCCCCCTGAATATACACCCTGGCCCCAAGGATATTTTTATTCGTCTTTTACCATAAATTAATTTTCTAGTACACATTTACAATGTATTCCATATGAAAAATCCAAAAAATAACGTAGAATTAACGTTTTATTAAAAAATATCATACCAGGGTGTATATTCGGGGGGGGGGGGAGGGGGGGTCCTGTCCACAAGCACTGTGGTCGCTTAAGGTTGATAATATTCTTAGATTTTAATAAAAGAGCTCATCAGCTTTGAATTCATGATATTTGTAATCTGAACCCTCTGTAGACTTTTTTTTTTTGCAATGTACTCGTATAATTCACAAATGAAGATAAAGTTACTGTGATATCGCCAATGTTGTGGTTTGATTGATTGATTGTTGCTGTTTTACGTCCCATTCGAGAATTTTTCACTCATATAGAGACCTCACCATATACCGGTGAAGGGCTTCAAATTTAGACCTTTACTCGGCACTTAGGGCCATTGATCAGTGAAGGTATACTTCATCGTGCCAACGCCTGCCGTGACACGGGGCCTCGATTTTTAAGGTGTCATCCGAAAGACCCGCTACTTTCACTTCACAGTGCCGAGCGCTTGGCGAAGGAACAGTTGCTACCTCTTTTTATCGACTTAGTCGCGGCCGTGATTCGAACACACGACCTTCCGATCACGGAGCGGGCGCTCTACCGACTTAGCTCCGTGACGGTGTTTTGTGGTTTGAAGAGACCCACAAATTCACGTCCTCCTCTATGAAATGTAGAATTTCATACAACAATAACATGTTTGACTACCAACCACGAAATCAATTTTCTCATATACCAATATTTTTTCCCAACCAAAAATATTGACCATTTGAAAATAAGTGATTTTACAGTATTGTGACATAATCGTGTTCAAAAATCCAGACGTGTAAATTCACAATTTGTTAGATTGAAAAATATCTATGAAAATAGTTTGAAGACGTTTTTCATGCCTCTCTGCATCTCAACTATAACCGTTTCGGGCTCTGGCATTTATAAAATGTACTAGTTTAGGCGAGATGAATATTCGAAAAAGATATTAACTAGACACTGTAGTTTTTTGGCCAAATGTCATTTTTTTACAGTAAAAATGTGTAAAATTCAGACTCGCGAACAGACGCATATTGAATACAATTTGATTTGTGTTTGATTTTTCACAATGAGGTACATTGTACTTAAATCGTTAAATCGTGACAGTTCGTCATACTTTAAGATCAAATGTAGAAATATAAATATAAAATTTTCAATCTTAAAAAAATGTAAATTTACACCTATGGATTTTTGAACCCCATAAGTAACACGTACATTCACTGACAAGGTTTAACGCGTAGGCTAAACTGTTTTCGCGTTTGAGCCCCCCCCCCCCAAGTTACAGAAATCTTTGTTAAAATGCTTCGCAGCTCTGTTAAGGCTGCATAAAGGGGGCGGGGCCTAATTTATACGGGAAAAGTTTACTGTGACATCACACAAATATAGCAATTCCTCACAATATCAGAAAATGAAATAATTTGCGAATCTAAACTGCATAAGAGTAATGAACTACATCAAAACTTACCACTGCATTCATTTTTGTCGCTAGTTAAATCCCACACAGCAAGATATAAACAAGTCACTGATCGCAATGCACTTGTCGACATGACGTCATCATGGTAAAGTTTGACGCATTTTATGTGCAGTGAGAGGCGGATCAAGTAATTTTTTCACAGTGAAAAATGCATTTTATTATTAAACAGAATATTATTTGAAAATCTTAGGTAGACCATTAATACAAATCCGAAACATTTGTTCAGTGTCATTATTTAAAAACTATCGAGAGAATGTTTTGAATTAATTCTACCGTGTTTTGTCTACAGGGTGTGCATGATTCACGCCGAGGTGCCTCATGAAACCGCCTTTTCGCAAGGGCATACACTTAATAGATCTTGACCATTTTTTGAATATACATAATTGACATATTCCTTAACTTGAAAAGTGCTGCTGCTTTCCTGAAATCGATAGCATAACTTAATAAATACATAAAATACTTGGTGAAGGTCACACATACTTCGTCATTAGCAAGATAACATGAAATTTAAACTAATAAAATGCGAATTCTATTTAAAGCAGCAGCACTTTCCATAAACTACAAGCTATGTAGAAACAATCTATTACTTTAATTTTTAATTTTAACTAGGGTATGCCCTTGCGATATTGAAATTTGTTTGTGACCTACATACAGTACACATTACATGCATTTATCACGTGACTATCAAATAACGTGACCAAACCAAATTCAGTACAGAGCGAGGTATACAATGTTATTTCAAAGAGTGTTAAAGTCATAAGATAATATAGTACCTTTATAAAATTAAAATTCATTTTAAAAAGGTATGTATTTATGCACGTTTATAGTCTGTTGATTTCTACGAAGTACGCCTTAACAGTGCTGCGTTTTGCTTTGTTCTGCTTTTTTTTTATCATCGTTGTAAGTATATAGTTAATTTCTTTACTTTTAAATAGCTAGTTATTTTTAAACACTGTATTTTCCACATATACACATCAGAAATAACCATACATCGCGTTTGCAAAATGATTATAAATGGTTAACTCATTTACAAATATGGAAAATTACACTTTTTTAAAGGTCTGTGGAAAGTATTTGTAAGTAATATATGAATACTACATTGATGGAAAGTATTTGTATTTATCATATGAATACATCATTGATCAATATATCGACAGTATTCACGATGGCTTAATGTTCGCGGAAAGTTCTTTGATCGCGAACATAGTGAAATTAAAAGCATCGCAATGTATTCCACTTTTACAGTATAGTGATGTATACCTTTCATGAAAACAGATATCTTGAAAACGTAGCTAAGAAAAAATCTTGATACATAATTCTGTAAAATGTCAAACAAATGAAATATCTTTAAAAAATTATGAAAAAAAATATTTAATTTGATTAAAGTGATATATGCATATATATGCAGAGAGGCTGAATGTGCTTGAAGTAATAAAAGAGAAATATCTCGTATATAGTTTAAAAAGTATTTCTCGTGAATTTATAGCCGGAAACAGAGCAAAAATTTTTAAATGATATACATGTAGTTCAGCATATCCAATGCAATGCTCCGCCAAGTAAATCTACTAATAGTGATAGGTGCTTTCCATTTAAACCTGGTGTAGGCGAAATACTAGGAAAGGGCACTATACCTCTTATCCAAAACCAAATAAAGTCTGATTTTTGCATAAGGTCTTTGAATTCTAAACTGAAGTCATTTGACGTACAATAATAATGTATGATAGGCTAAAGGAAGTCACAGGGAACTCGAAATTTCTGTCCTGATAACTGAGATTCTGTATATCCATATAAGGAATATAGTGAAAGTCTTCTTGGCGATTCGTAAAAAAAATCCTTATAAAGATTTCCTTACAAGCGAGTTCTTTATAACCGACTTTTACTGTACTTATATAAAGCGCCCTTTCCACAGTGATCACATCATCTGATAAGATAATCCATCACCTCACAATGTATCAAACATGATCCTTACAGGAAACTGACAAAGGAAAGACAGATGGACAAAATGAAACACAGAATCATTATACCGTCCATCAACAGACTGGCTAATAAATATAGTTTTAGATTAATCTTTCTCATAAAGGCTTGTCAAAGGCACCATCACCCATCTTGACTTTATGAAAACAGAAATCACTGGATATATTGTAAACAATGACATTTTATTAACCAAATGAAGAGTATTACAATATAACAACAAGATAACTGGTGACACCTACATCATGAACTACACAAGCTGTACAACTTAAAACACTGCTTGGCCTCTGTAGTAGGTTTTCTATGTTTAATGTGATTTGCACATGTAACAACTAAATCATAACAAGTCAAAGAAATAAAACTTTTCTTTTAAATAAGTAATGAAAAGTTTTGTACATTGTTGTCAATGAGAATGAAAAATTGTAAAGCAAAATGAAATGAACTTTTGGCATACATATTTTAAAACATAATGCATGACTGAATGAAAGTATACAGCCCTAATATACCATCAAGCCAAGTTCAATTAAGAATGCAGTAGAAATGATATTAACATTCAAATTCCTCATAATGGAAAATGACAACAAAAAGACATTTAAATAAAGCCTAATACTCCTGTAGGATAAGTGCCCAGTATCTCTACTGCCCAGTAAAATGTTACAACACAGAATTGTATGAAACATCTAAATGTTATACTAAAAAAAAACAGTATCAAATTACTGTGAAAATGTCTTCTCTCTGTAGAGGTACATAAACATAATAAAAAACTCATGAGAAATGTTTTAAATAAATAAATAATTAAAAAATGTGTTCATAGCCCACACTGTACCATATAGTGACACAAGACAGGTAAACAGCATTTAAAGACTTCCAAAGAAAGTAATTCAAGTGAGAAAGTTACTTAAAAAATCATATAAAATATGGTAGATAAGAAGTACATGTATAACATATATCTCATCCACTGAATGATCAATTCATTTAGTTTACATGTATGTTATATTCACATCTGGCAGTTGACCCATTTCCTAACCGAAATTTCACAACTTTATATTGTAAACCTTCAATGTACTTGTACAACAATGGTTAACTGAAATACATGATACAACATCTAAGTGTTAAACTTTTCACTACAATAGAACCGAGAATTAAAAGTTTGTGGATATATATATATATACATATTTTGATTCTTTTGTTGCTGTTAGACAGAAATCTCACAGACTCGGTAGAAAACGGCGGATGCCGATACGTTTATCAAAAATTAACTTTGTTGTGATACTAGCACTATACTAAATAGTATGCTTGTTGAAAAAATCTAACCTAGCTTTCAAATATTTCACAATATAGAAGTCCTTGGATTCACAACCTTTAAATACAGTAGTTAGTACTATACACTAGTACATGTACATGAAACAAAACACATATTACTGCACCAGTAATGACATTACACACTGTGACAGCATGCACCATTCATCCAATCTACTCAGCACCATTTATACAGTTTTCACAATAGAACATCCATTTGACAGTCAAAATACATCCTTTATACACAAGGAACAATAACAAATGATTCCTCTTGGCTTGCAACACCTGCATCAAACTGAATTCTGACAGTACACGAATGATCACCATCCCTTTATTATGACTGGATGCTTCCTGTCCGTGTCTAGACAGTCATGTTTCCCTACATGTATTTCTGATACATGTTAATACTGAGTTGAAGAACACAGGTTGTGATAAAAGTAATCTCAGATGAATAGGAGACATGAGGAGACATCTGGAGCTCTACTGCCCTTTTTTTTTTCCTTGGTCATGTTTTCCCATCACACCTCATCTGGAAGAATGGTGATCATTAACCTCCTCTCTGGCCAGCTGTATGTCTTGGGGCACATGATCTGAAGTAAAATAACAATGCAATGTAGATAATGATATAATTTACTCAAATACAAAACATGCAATCAAATTAAACTAATCATGTTATTGAACCTTGAGATACCAGTAATTTTTTTTTCAATCGTTTATTTTTTTATTTATTTTTAATTAAATGCATCTACATGTACATAGATACAAAAAATAAAGTCAAAACCTTTTATTTTATGTACATTCATTTTAAAAGATTTTCTTTGAAAAAAAAACAACACTTTTTAAATAACAGATCAAATCAAACTTTAAGAATTTAATACATATATCAAGATACACAGCTCCACGTCACCATTTCTAATTAATCCTATCCAAGACTTTTAATGAGTTTTACCTCATCAGGATGTGCTAGTTCTTCTGTGTCTACTATCATCTCCTCAATGAAATCATCTGTTAGAAGCACCTGGGAAAAGAATCAAAGGGAGGTAAGTCAAACATTTCAACTGAAATAACAAGCAATGTTGTCCTAAATTTTAACATTTTCATAATCCATATGATTCATGTTAGTCAAAAGCATTTAAAACACCTACGAAAATGTCCTAAATGTTAACATTTCCATTGTTCTGAAAGTTGAGAGTATTAAAAACGTTTCCTAAAATACTTTTATATAAATTCTACAATTTTTAAGTACAACATTCAAATGACAAAATAATTATATTGATATAAGCCCTTAGAGCATACTGAACTTTCAACTTTTACCTGTAGCCAAGGACCATGGGCTGCAAAAGGATGATTCTCATCAGCTATGGACCCATTCACACTTGTTGAGACAACAGTAATAGCTGTGTCATTCAATGCACTCATAAACGTAAAGTGTCGCCCGTGACGAAGTCTTCCTTTCAGAGCCAGTGGAAGGAGAGATCCAGCTTCTAAATTGAATTTCAAATGAACGAAGTCAAGAGTTCGTGTCCTGAGTAAATCCGTTGGTCCATCACTGCTCCCTATACTGTCAAAGGACTGTTTCCTTCTTGAGCTGAAGAGAAAAGTTGAAAATAAGGTGACATATTCTTAATTGTAGGAAATAATTACTAGAATATATTAACACAAATTAACAGCGTTTGGATAAAAAAAAATCTGGACAAAAACTTCATCTGAAACTTTACAGAAAATAAAATTATCTTTACTTACTTATCATATTCAAATTCCCGAGAATCCCGTCGTGGAAACTGCAAACCCTTTTGAAGTGTTGCTTTAATTTGTTCTGATTCTGTAAGACAATAGCAATACATATTTTAATATTTTCATAGAGGTATTCTATTTCTAAAAACAGTATTATCATTAAATCAATGGCTCTCTGACAATATAAAACGATTCTTCTCAGATCATCTTACCAAAATCGGAGATTCTGGGTCTGTCATTTTCGTTGCTATTCCTGCGCTCATCAAGAGTCCTATTGTCTTTCATATCATCATTATAATAATCATCACTGTTTTCACCAGGTTCCTCCCACGAGCAGCGACTGTTGACACCACTTAGGTTTGATCCTTCAGTTTCAATTCCCTGTTCAACCTGATCCTGCAAAATAGATTCCATATATTATAAAGAAAAAATGTGATTATTTTCATCTTACATTCTATTCTTATACAGTTATTTTCATATAACCAGGTATTTTGGTTATATTGATGCCCACTTTCAATTATTACCTATCTTGTTTATTTATGTTGCTCATTAATTTTCAAAAAATTCATTTCTGATGTTACCTGTAGATGTGGTTCCATTTCAAAAATAGTTTCCCCTCTCCTCATGTCTGTAATCAGCCATGGACCCCCAGCACAGCTCTGAGACCTTATCAATTCGATGACCCCTGGGCCATTCCAATGCTGGGCGGCCTTCAGCTCCTCCTCACATACACCAATAATCTGGACAAAGTTAACAACGCCAAATGGTGTGGTGATGGGCAAAAGCTGGGCATCCTCTGCCATCAGCATGTGCTGGATCCGTGACTCACTGCCGTCTAGAGACATGTGCCAGGGAACATGGTCACCACTGTACAGGATATTTTCTGTGTCAAGGGAGAACAGATTTCAATCATATGTGAGGATAAAATTCAACCAGTAAAGTTTAAAGATTAGATCAACCCATTCCTCAACTCACAAACGTACATACAATCAATGTCTAGAATGTCTAAGCTACTTTTAGTTTACAAAGTTATGTATAAACTCTGAAAAGAGACCTATTAGATATTTCAAGGACTTTGATAACATGAAAAAAATAAATGCATACTATATTGAACCATATTTAGGAGGATATTCACCTGTTTGGAAAACATATCTGGCCAGAGCCTGCATGAGGGTAGCAGGCCATGTAGGGGGATTTGTCTCCCCACTGTCCCTCTTCAATCTAAAAGTCAATTCAAATCCATATCCACTTGGACCTTCGTTTGTATTGCACCTAAAGTTATGGCTAAAATAGCAAATAAATCAAATATTAATCCACATTGCTTTATTTAAAGGCTTCTCAACTACAGTATCTTACAATATGTCAGAGTTAAAGTACCTGTATAAATACTTATAACAAGAACAACCAGATTACAAACTTTATCCTAAGATTTTTATGCATGAAATTACCAGGTAAGAAAAAAGCCCACAAACTTGTACATTCAATGTTTGATCAAGTATATTATAAAATCTGACAATGTACTTACTCATGGACACGTCCATCACCATGGAGATCAGAAAGACCGTAGCTAATGTAATGCCAGTGTGGAGGAATACCTCGGTTTTCATCCCCTGGGTTGGCGTACATTGAAATGTAATCAAGGGGGTCCGGTCCACCCAACCTGTAAATGGAAATAATCAAATAAGACATAGTTAGAAAATTAGTTACTTTATAGGACACCTCTATGACAATACTCTTCTTAAGATAATGATATATATATCTACATATTTTGCTATTCTTGTGGTGAAGATATCAACATCCTTTGCTATTCTAAAAGAACAGAAATCATTTCACTTTTTGCTTGAGATCAAAGTTATCAAACCTTTGATAATCTAAATTTCAAGAATAAATTTCAACATCCTTTGCTTTTCTAATAGAACAGATATTAACATCTTTACTTTTGGTGGTAAAGATATCAGCATTTTTGCAATACTTAGAGTACAGATAATATCTTCTGTTATCCTAATGTTCAAATTAAAATTCTGCTTTTCCATCACCATATACTATAATTTACTTTTCTTTCCAAGTACAACACACAATATATTTCCAATGACTAGTAATCCTAATATTCTTTATTACCCAAATGGTGCATAGAAATGACCAAATTTCCTTATTAAAATTACTAAGTATGTGAGCCTCTTGCTTGAACCTCTTAAAATGTTAGACACGTACATTAAGAGTGTGATGTTTTAAGTAAAATGTAAAAAAAAAAATAAATAGGCTGAAGGACAATAAATAACATTATCCTTCAGATTTATATCTTTACATGTTCTTTATACTTTAAAAAAAAAAAAAAGGAACAGGAGAAAAATTTCTTACAGATAAATTGAAATTAACATCTTATATTACTCCAATATTACCAGTATTTAATTAATATTAATTCTTAGTATGTAAATTTTATATGTAATATATCACATACTGTATTAATTATTAATCTTTCATAACATTACAAGTATATATAAAAATAATGGGGAAAAAATCCTGAAGAAAATCAATTCACCAACCAAAGCTTCAAAGAAAATAAACCCTACCTTGCGACTAGATATGGTTGTTTCATATTGAATTTTTCCGATCAAAAAATTCACTCAAAATGAAGATATGAGATTAAATGCATTAAAATATAGATCCAGTCTAACAGCAACTTGCTGTGCGTCTGCTTTCTTCTTCATAAATGAAAAATATTCCCCCTAACGTCAACATTGAAAGTAGGTCACCCCCACCTAAAATTTAAATGTCAACATTTTCAATACACCATCTCCCAAGTGGCCAACACCTACCAATGATTACAGACCCCCTACAGCCGCTTAGCTGTGGTGATCGCGTCGATAACATTCATACATAGGTAAACGCGGGAATACCTGAGCGTTTACACAGCGATCCAGCTAGATCAATAAGGCCCCCATTGAGACACCTCCCTTTGGTGAGAAAACAAACCCTGTGGTGGTCGTTTACCACATACTGCACATTGACCGGGTATCTACAGCATAGTCTACTCCTCTCCATTAACGACATGGCATTATCTCCGAGAGATTTATTCTCATAATCGACTAAATCGACTTCAAAATGAACAAGTTTAAAACACTTTATGGGATGAAAGCACTTGTCAGACCTGCTATTCAGAGGAATGTAATTCTTTTTTTGGGCATTAATAATAACAGTTTATTACCCCCTCCTTACCCCTGGAGGTGGATGAAAACTAAGGTCCCTTTTATGAAGTGTTACAGCACTACAAGTATTGACAGATAAACATGCTTGTCTGGGATAGGAAGGAAGCATTCTTGAAACGACTTCATACAATGTCAAAAAATTCTCATTACTTGATTATAGATAGAATAATCAAGTGTATTAATACTCACAACTCATATAACTTACAGGTTGTACATAAAACAGATTTTCTTTTAAAAACCAATAAAAAACCTACATAGATCGACAAACTGCATATTATCTTTTCTACATATTTTGGAAGCAATTTAAAAAAGCTTAATCATCGATAACAATATTTTATTCAATTTATTATGCTATACTGATTACATAAAGAATTCTAAATTCTAATAACTTTTTAATTCTTTTTTTTTTAATGCAAAACACAGATACTTAACATTAATATCTAATTTTAAATCTAATTTTAATTATACTCAAGTTACCTGACTGAAGAAAAAAATCCTTACACCCAAAAAACCATAACAAGATCCAAGAACAAGAGACACATAGGCAACAATGCTGACCTGAGTCACTATTGCCCTGCTGTTCATCGACAGATATTTGATCACATATTGTGCCCCTCCATACCCCCTGGAGACACGATTTGAACAAAACTGAATCTACACTACCTTGGATACTTCTATATATATATATATATGACTAATCATGGCTACTCTGTATGGAACAGAAACATGGAGAATGACCAAAACAACCCTGCAAAAGAAAAAAACACCTGGAGGCGTGACTCGGAGACAGAATTAAAGGCACAGGACATATCCTGGCATGACACCACAAAAGCAGCCCAGAATCATGTTCATTGGAGGACTGTCGTTGATGGCCTATGTTCCTCATGGAATGACAGGTCTAAGTAAGTTAAAGCTGAACATGACTCGTAAATAGGTATACGCCATTTTTATATTACTATCTACGATGTCAGCACCAGGGTATACTCCTCGCATTCGTTACACCTGACTGCTTTATTGCCACGGGTATCGGCGTGGCATGGCGACCCACGTGTTCGTGCTGGTTATCTCGCATTACCTTTGTTTACATTTTATTGCAATTACGTGTAATGTGTTTGTTTGTATACTGCACTGACCTGTGCAACTATTGTAAGTTTCTTTGATATCTTACTTTCCTGCATAAGAAGTATACAGTTATTTTTTCATCGCTACCGAGTGCTGTATAGTATACGTCCGTCTACACAGGTGACGACTGATTACACTGAACAGTGACTAAGTCGGCCGCTTTATATATTAGGGGTCCTCAGATATAGTGAGAATCCGATCAAAAATGGCGGACACATTCCTTTTACGAATTGTGTTCAGCTTTAATATTTGTTGCATCCAGTCCAGTAAAAGGGCCCTGTCCCAATTGAAAATTGACTCTTCTTTCCTCAAAATTAAGGTATTTCCAAAAAGGCAGGTAGATAGAATTTTTAAGTTCTTTTTTTAAAAAATCTTGAATATAGTCAGAGGTGTGTGGAGAGTAAATACCTACGATTTCTCAGTCTTTTCTCTACACTAAAACATAAATAATCAATATTTCCAAATTTTGCCACTTTTTTCATTCAAAATCATCAATTGAAAGGGTGCAGGACCCTGTGCCAAAAAGGGTCAATTAAGCCCTGATTGCAGTAATCAGAAATTAGCAATGAAAATAGTTTGTGCATGTTCAATATTGCAATGTAAGGAGATTGACTGTAAAACTTGTATACTCTTTCATTTTACAAGGTAGCAGATATGTCTACATGACTTTGGCAACATAAAAATCTAAATTATCTAAATTCTTCATAAACAAGAAACTTGATTGCTTAAATCTGTTACCAGTAGATTATAAGTATAATCTTAAATACAATAATAAAATAATCAAATTATTAACACAATGTATTCATAACGAATTAATATTTTGGAAAATTAAATAGATGATTGTAGCAAAATGCTGTGGTGATATTTGTGGAGGAAGGTTACATCTACTTTGGCACGTACACTCCATCATAACAAACTGAATCCTACAAGATGACGTTAATAGTCACCTCTTCCACAAAGATCAGAATATATTTTTGTCTATAATTATTGATTTAGAATGCAATTAATTTAATAGTCTTGTCTATCTGAGCATGTTGACGTGCAAATACTGCAGATGTCTTTCTTTAAGGGGGCCTACAGCTGACCAATAAGCTATCTATAAACAGGAAATAAATTAATATGTGCCTCAAAATATCTCAATTGTATATTAAAATGTTTGTCATTGAGGAGTCATTTTGTACCTTAAATAGCATGAAGAAATGTGTATTCAAGGATTATACAATTATACCACCTTTCAGTAAACCAAAAAAAGACCATCTTTATTGTTTATAATTGAAATCTACTTTGTTTAAATATAGAGAAAAAATGCCTGGGATTTGTACCTAAACTGGTCATAGAAATAATTTGTTTACTCAAACAATAAAAAGGCATAAGTTTCATTAAGATCTGCTAGCTAGCATGTGGAACAGTAATTCCCCATGGATCCCAGTACCTCATTTTACTTTCCATAATTGAAGAGTATTCAATTACAATACAACTCAAATGTGACGTCAAAAGACATATCAAATTATTAAACACTCATAAAAATTATGTCCACACTGGAAGATTTCTTATGAAAAACAAATTAAAAAACAACAATTGGTATTATCATAATTTATGCACCATTCATTCATGTTCAAGGCATGACCGTCATTAACTTCATGTAAATGCATAAAACATCATTTTTGCTTATTAATGCTTTGATATACAGAAATCTACAGGTGCTTAGAAATATAGATATAAATCTACAGGTGCTTAGAAATAAAGATATAAATCTACAGGCCTTTTCTTAATTTGAGAATTTTCAATCAAATGTACAGAAAATTTTAAAACCTAAATGTTGTTATCTTTACAATCTAAAACATATAAATTTTCTTGGATATTTGATGCAAATTAAACTATACATATTTTACAACTTTTGTAATATTTTCTTCTTTTTATTTAAGGACATGCAGATGGCACAAACTTTCTTCAAAAATCACAAAATAAATTAAGTAAAATGAATAAGTTTAGCCCCATAGATTTTTATTTTCATTCAAAGTTTCAGAATACAGTCCTCAAACGTAATTTAGAATTTCAAAACATTCTATATTATTTAGCTGTACTGTACAGTATTGTAAATGATAATTATTATATAATTCAAAGAAATTCATAATATAGTAATGTATTACAAACTCTACATTTAATTCATGTGCAATGACTATATCACTTTTTGGGTGTAGTTTTTAGATTAAACCTACATGTATATTTTTTGTCCTGCAACTTATTTCAATATATAAGTGGTCACGTAATCTGAATTCCTTAAATTGTTCATAAAGTTGCTTAAACAGCGCGTTACAAACTTCCATGTAACGTGCACATCCTGGTCATTAGATTAATTGTCGACAATGATTAAAATCACAATTCTGAACCATAAGACAAGTCGATGAATGCCAAAAATTATCATGGTGGGCACCACTGAAGCTTAAAACCTTTAATTAAACATTAACACAAGTCACTAGACTGTGCATATTAGGATACTCCGATGCTCCTACCTATTCTGCTTGGGATTGGGATCAGTTGAAACTGGAAAATTCACAATAATTAAGTAAACCTGGGAAAATATTCCATTCAGTGTGAAAAACAGTGCAACATGAAAATAAAACTAAGATTTTATAATGACCGAATCACTTGAAATAATTGTTGTATATGTATACTTATATACTAATATAGTCATGTACATGTATATTAATACATGTTTTCTAATTTACAATGCCAGGGATTTTTTTACCCCTTGATTCCAGGGGCCGGGGCCGTCAAGATTGGGAAAAATAGCGATATTTGGTTGAAATTGGGAAAAATATCTTCATACAAATAAATAGGAAAAAACAAAAGTCAAATATTTAATCATTCTTCTTATTTTTTATAGTATGAAGCTGGCTTAAACCAGCTTTAGTGATATGAAATAATAGCGGCTGTTGAAGTTCAGAAGCTAAAAAATGGCAAAGCCGCAGGGTATGATAACATTGTAAATGAACATATTTATACGTTGTCATCTTTTTTACCTTTATGTAAGAAGTTCTTTAAAATAACATTTGATAGTGGGTTTGTTCCAAATGAGTGGTTAATCGGTATTGTTCGACCAATTTATATTAAGAATAAGAGCGATTCAACCCAGCCTGAAAATTACCGTCCTAGGCAAACTGGAGAGACTGACATGATGAAAGTTTATTTTCTAGAATTTTAAACATCATTCCCGCTTTAAAAAGTACGCATGCAAACATCCATAGTATTCCGAATAACTATTCGGAAGTCCTCGGATGGCTCGTAGATTGCACATAGAGAACATAAACACCTTTTTGTCATTGTTTTATTTAATAATTTACAACTTAATACTTTTTTTTCATATTGGGAATTTTTAGGTATGATTTTGGGAAAAACATGCACTTTTCAGCATTGGGAATGGGGCTGAATTTCGGCCCCGGAGAGACCCTAAAAAAATCCCTGAATGCAGTTTTTTATTTTACATTTTTTAAAAGAATTCCTTATTTTGAAATGCTCATCAGTCCATCAAAATTCAATATCCATTGAAGACACTGAGATTACACAGAGTTTTTGGGTGGACTAAGAATGTATGTATCAAACATTGCTCTTCATATGGTCTCTCACTCTTTATTGTGTTTATTACCTTCTTGGTCACTTTCTAACATTTTCCTTTGTTGAATAATATATAATTTTCTTTTTAACTAGAAGTTTTGCCTTTGTTGTATATTTTAATTTAGAATATACTGTTCTGCAACCATTGCCACATGCAAATCTAATGCAAATATAAATATTGGTAATTTTTGGTTTTTCCCATCCTATACCCTATATGCATCCAGCCATCCAAGGGTATCAGAGTCACTACTATAAATTTCGAGGTCATGGTACTATTGTTGTTTCTAGGTGTAACTGTATTATGGAAATAAAGAACCAGTTTGATTTATTTTTACCAAGTTGAACTATTATGTAAAATTTTGAAGTCTTATTACAGAATCTTAATACAACTTCTTGGAAAAGGGGGGGGGGGGGTCATTCTTCTGCTGGGTCTATTACTGGTAATCAGACTCAAAATTCATAGTACATTTATTTGGGGATTAAATATATTTTTATAGTTGCAAATAAGGTTAAAGAATTTAAAAGACATTTCTTTAAATCTCTTTCTGAATTTCAGAAACATTAATGACTAATGCAATAACATTTTCTTCTGTTCTTTTATACAAATGTATTAAATCGAAAGTATATTATTATACATACTACGTTCAAAATCAACATTATGTTTTTAAATTTTGCAATGGATTTTATATTTCAATATTAAATCAAGATATTAAATCACATCTGATCAGCACTGCAACGACATAAACACAGAGGTACAGCCATTTTGTTTCAATGACACTCCACACTTCATTCAAACATCATTTAATTCAATATATTTACCAGTATTTAACGAGTGCAGTGACTTGCAGAGGGTTTGGTTGGTCGGGATAAGTGCGCCGACAAGCATTATAAATAGCCTCTAACCCCGGGGGAGTCACAGGGATCGAAGACTGTGAATAGTTTGAAGAATACACACTTTCCCGATCGTGACGATCGTCCATGTTTACGTCTTGTTGTCCAACAAAATCACAGTTACTTTTGCCTTTCATATGTTGTAATATGTATTTATCCGCTTCCCGAGTAGCTACATTCTAATACAGAAAACTTATTTTCCCACAACTTTTCCTTTGAAATAACAAAACAACTACTTCTTTCAACTCCGACATTCCACTGTTCTGAAAAATTAATAAACTGGTTCTCTTATACTGTAGGGGAGAGGCATAATTAACGCAAAGACTACAACAACTGATAATGAAAAAGTATTTTCTATTTTTATATTTAATAGTTTAGCAAAACGAAGACACTCGTACATCAAATTAAATCACAACTCTGGTGAAATTACTCCTCTATTATGTTTGAATTTATTTTGTACAAAACATTTTTAATATAGAAACAGCAAAGTATTTTCAGGAAACCAGTTTAGACCACCCATGAAATCTCGTACGATCTCGCAAAAACATACGCCGGTGGATCAAAGTGGGTGGTTCTATTGTTACATGAGTCCTTATGAGAGTACCAATCCTTAATGATGAAAAATGTATTTTAAAAAATTAAAAAAGAGTGTGTATTATAATTTTGGTCCTTGCATACCATACTCCAGCAACAGACCTGCAAAGTTTTATTAAAATTGACTTCAGATAGTTATAAAATCATTTTGAATCTTGCTATTAGCTCACCTGAGCTGAAAGCTCAAGTGAGCTTTTCTGATCACCCATTGTCCGTCGTCTGTCCATCCGTCTGTAAACCTGTCACATGTTCAACTTCTTCTGAAGAACCATGCACTGGGCCAATTTTAACCAAAGTTGGTACAAAACAGGAGTTTAAATTGTTAAAATGAAGGGTCAAACCCCCTTACAATGGGGAGATAATCAAGAACAGACAAAAAAAGGGTGGGGTCATTAAAAAATTTTCTACTCAAGAACCACTGGGCCAGAAAGCTGAAACTTATGTGGAAGCATCCTGGGGTAGTGTAGATTTTAAATTGTTCAAATCATGACCCCCGGGGGTAGGACGGGGCCACAATAGGAAATCCAAGTTTTACATTGAAATATTAAGAAAAATCTTCTTCTTAAGAACCACTGGGCCAGAAGAGTTGGATCTTATGTGAAAGCATCTTCTCAAGAACCACTGGGCTAGAAAAGCTGAATCTTATCTGGTTTAAGCATCCTAGGGTAGTGTAGATTCTAAATTGTTCAGATCATAACCCCCAGGGGGTAGGGTGGGGCCACAATAGGGAATCCAAGTTTTACATTGAAATATATAGGAAAAATCTTTTTCTTAAGAACCACTGGACATGAAAAACTGAAACTTATGTGGAAATATCCTGGTGTAGTGTAGATTCTTTAAAAATCTTCTTTTCAAGAACCACTGGGCCAGAAAATTAAAAAAATTATTTGGAAGCATCCTGGAGAAGTGTTAGATACTAAATAGTTCAAATCATGACCCCGGGGGTAGGTTGGGGTGACAATAGGTATTACAAGGGGGAAATCTTGTGAAGAACAGCAGGGCAAAAGTTACTCAGGTGAGTGTTATGGCCTATGGGCCTCTTGTTTTTCTTTTTTTTAAATTGGATATTTTATTTGTACCAAAACTGGACTTTTTTAACAACTTGGAAGAATTTCAAACATTATTGTATATCTATTAACCAAATCACCACTGATCACATTGTGTGCACTGATGTTAAATTGTATACTGTGTTCCAAGCTGTTTTTTTTTTTCAAATCAGACAAACACTGTAGAAAGAATAACATTTTGAATTTCACAAGTTATTCATTAAACTAACAACCATGACAACACAGCTCATCAGAATCTAAAACTGAAACACAGAACTTTTAAATGCATTACTTAAGCTGGCTAAAATTTCTAATGCCCCACTTTCATTATTTTAAACATTCATTATAAAGGTTAAGACTACATTACTGCTCACCCCAATGGATGTTATCTTTAGGTAAGGCAAAATCCCCACAAAAATTATAATCTAGTAATGTGCATCCCATGATGCAACATTTATGCAATTTTGGTCCAGGTTAAGGGCTTGCAGTTACTTGGGAATGGAGTGACTTATTTTACAAAACTTTAAACTGCATGGTCATCCATCCAGAAAATGCAAGTCAGCTAGGCTCGTGAGCCATAAAACTTAGATTATCTCACTTTTGGTCTCAGTGACAGTCTCACGTGCACTTTTCCACAATAAAGTCCTTTTGTAAAAGTGAAACTGAGATTAAAAGTGAGTTCATCAAAGTTTTTTGGAGCCTGACCTAGCTAGCATACAAGCAGGTCTGTAAGTGTGCATCCATCCTTTCCTTTTACCGTGACTTCACTTTTCTTATATATGCAAGTAGCTAAGTTTCAAAGAAACTATTCAAGATATTTTTATCAAACCTAATATGCTAGCTGATACAATTATTGGTGAGAGCTATTCAACTGCATCAACATTTTGACCTGCATCATCTATACATGTTTGGTCCAGGTAGGCCTTTTAATTACTTGGGAATGGACCTACCCAAAAAAATCTTAACCTGGTCACTCATCTGGAAAGCATACTTCAGATCCAGCATCCAAGTTAGTCTGGTAGTATATTGCATCCCTATATGTATCACCAATGCAGTTTGCTCTAGAAGGGCTGGTCACTCCTCCAGAAAATGTAGGTCAAGTCCAGCATCTGAAACAAGTCTGAGAGTTTTCATCCCTTGATGGATCACCCATGCAAGTTTGGTCTAGTTAGGCCTTGAAGTTACACTGAAATGAACCTGCTCCAAGTACTTTTACCTGGTCACTCATCTAGAAATTAGGTCAAATCAACATCTGGAGCAGCTATGGTAGTGTGCATCCCTTGATGCATCATCCATGCAAGTTTAATCCAGATAAGGCTTGAAATTACACTGGAATGAGCCTGCAACAAAACTTTAACCTGGTCACTCATCCAGAAAATGTAGGGTACAATCCAGCATCTGAAGCAAGTCTGATAGTGATATGCATTCCTAGATACATCATAATTCATGCAAATTTGATCTATCTAGGGATTGAAGTTACACTGGAATGAGCCTTCTCAAAAATTTTAGCCTTGTCACTTACCCAGAAAATGTCAGTCAAATCCAGCAACTGAAGCAAGTCTGATATGTTCATCCCTTGATGCATCATTCATGCAAATTTGGTCTAGGTAGGGTTTGAATTTACACTGGAATGATCTAGCTCCAAAAACTTTTACCTGGTCACTCATCTGGAAAACGTAGGTCATATCCAGCATCTGAAGCAAGTCTGAGAGTATTCATCCCTTGGTGCATCATCCATCCAAGTTTGATCCAGATAGGGCTTGAAGTTTCACTGTAATGAGCCTGCTCAAAAATTTTAACCTTGTCACTCACCCAGAAAATGTAGGTCATATCCAGCATCTGAAGCAAATCTGAGAGTATTCATCACTTGATGCATCATCCATGCAAGTTTGATCTAGGTAGGGCTGAAGTTACACTGAAATGAACCAGCTCCAAATTCTTATACCTGGTCACTCATCTATGGAAAATGTAGGTCAAACAAGCAAATTCAAAGAATTGTGGTCCCCCACTTTCGGTGTCTTAGTGGATGGGATGCCATTATTTATGGCTTATTTTAACTGTCTTGTTTGTGTGTCCTGTCTTGTCTGTGCATTATACAAAAAAGACATAAATTATTGAATTAATAACAGTTATGGCAAAGATTATAGCTTCTCAAAACTACATCAAACTTCAAGATCAAGGTCATGAGGTCAAATATAAGAAAATGCAAAAGGTTTTGTCACAAGTAATGTACATGTAAAAAATAATATCAAAAACCAGAGTATACAATCAGAAAGGTTTTGAAACAGGTAATGCACATGTCAAATGTAAATACCATATCTTCTCTCAATCAAAAGTTATTAGCAATGCTAAACTTTTTAAAAATTAGGTCAAACTTCAAGGTCATGGGATTAAACATCATAGTACATTTGGAAATGCTTGTCACAGGTAATGCATGTGTCAAATATGAATGCCCTATCTTTGCTCCTTCAAAAGTTAGCAACATTGATGAATTGTTTGAAAATTAGGTCAAACATGAAGGTCAAGGTCATGGGGTCAAATATTATAGCATATTCAGAAACATTTTGACACAGGTAATGCACTTGTTAAGTATGAATGCCCGATCATATGTTATTCAGAAGTAATCAACAAAGTTAAAATTTTTGAAATTTAGGTCAAACATGAAGGTCAAGGTTAAGGGGTCAAAAATCATAGCATGCTCGGAAACACCTTGTCACTAGTAATGCACATGTCAAATATGAAAGCCCTATCTATTCTCAATCAAAAGTTATAAGCAAAGATAAAAATTTTGAAAAGTAGGTCAAACTTCAAGGTCATGGTATCAAAACCCATAGTATATTTGGAAAGGTCTTATTACAGGTAATGTACATATTTAATATGATAGCCCTATCTTTTCTCATTCAAATTTTATGACCAATTCAAAGTAATGTTAATTTCTCTTGAAAAGTAGGTCAAACTTAAAGTTCAAGGTCACAGGGTCAAAAGTCATACTATATTTTTGAGAGGTCTTGTCACAGGTAATGCACATGTTGAATATAAAAACCCTATCTCTTCTCAATCAAAAGTTATAAGCAAAGATAAAATTTTGGAAAAGTAGGTCAAACTTCAAGGTCAAGGTCAGGGGTCAAAAACATAGTATATTTAGAAAGGTCTTGCCACAGGTAATATACAGATAGAATATGAAAGCCCTATCTTTTTTCATTCAAAAGTTATGACCAATTTAAAGTAATGTTAATTTTTTTGAAAAATAGGTCAAACTTCAAGGTCAAGGTCACGGGGTCAAATATTATAGTATATTTGGAAAGGTCTTGTCACAGGTAATGTACATGTGAAATATGAAAGCCCAGTCTCTTCTCACTCAAAAGTTATGGCCAAGGTTAAAGTTTTTGTGACTGACAGAGGGACAGACGAATAAGATTTAATGTCCCCTCGCTTTCACGAAAGCGGGGGACAATTAAGCATTCAAAGCAGCTGTGGTATTGTGCATCCTTTAATGCAAGTTTAATCCAGATAGGGCTTGCAGTTACACTGGAATGAGCCTGCTCCAAAACTTAAACCTGGTCACTAATCCAGAATATGTAAGGTAAAATCCAACCTCTGAAGCAAGTCTGATAGTGTGCATCCCAGTAAAGGCAAAATCCATGCAAGTTTTGGGGAATGGGCGTCCTCCTAAAACTTGAATTTGCTCACTCATCTGGAAAATGTTGGTCAAATCCATGGTCAGCATCTGAAGCAACCCTGGTAGTGTGCATCCCTTGATGGATTATCCATGCAAATGTGGTTCAGGTAGGACTTATAGTTTCTTAGTAACAAACCTGCTTCAAAAACTTTAATCTGGTCACTCATCCAGAAATTATTGGTCAGATTCAGCATCCAAAGCAAGTCTTGTAGCATGCAATCTTTGATGGATCATCCATGCAGGTCTGCACTTATAGTTTCTTTAAGATGAAATTACTCCAAAAACTTTAACTTGGTCACTTATCAGGTAAATGTAGGTCGGATCAAGCACCCAAGGCAAGTCTGGTAGTGTATATCCTTAGATGCATCATCCACGCAAGTTTGGTCAACATAGGGCTTATAGTTACTTTCAAATGAAACAGCTCCAAAACCTTTAACCTGGTCACTCATCCAGAAATATTGGTCAGATCCAGCATCCAAAGCAACTCTGGAATGTGCATTATTAAATTATCATCCATGCAAGTTTGGTCAGTATAGGAGTTATAGTTTCGTTAGAATGAACCTGCACCAAAACTTTAACCTGCTCCAAAAACTTTAACCAAAAAGATTAACCAGGTCATTCTTTGGTTGAAACTGCAGCATCTGAAACCTCTGGCACAATGAAACACACTAGAAGCATTGTCCAGGCATCTGCGATCAATATAGGACATAGAAGCACTTGAAATCTGCTTCAAAAACTTTAGCCTTGGATGCAGACTCTTACATGGACACTGAGGGTATTACATAAGCTCCCCTAACTTTGTTAAGGTGAGCTAAAAATTTGAAAACCCTTATATAAATTATGTTGTCTGCTATTAACAATGTTTTGCTGTCAAGGCCAAAAAATTGCAATTGATTGTGTAATTACTCAACCATGACTACCAGTATTTTTTTTTGTTGAAAAGCATGATGTGCGAGTTCAGCATGTTTTGTGGGTGCATTTTGTAAAACTTTTTGTTGACATGTGTTCTCTATATTTAGTTGTGTACGAAAAAGAAAATGGAGTAAACCCGGAAATGCTATGCATGTCTGCATGATCTATCTCACCATAATTTTGTGTAATTCCACATCAGTAGGAACACTACATAAGAATTTCACACCTTTGTGATAAGAACTTAACAGCACATACGACACACAATGGGAATGCATGAAAGGCCCCTCGGTGACCAAATTGTATGGAACAGACTGATTTGTGCAAGGAGACCTTATGTATGCTTGGTAATATCTGCAAGGCGCTGACAACTTTTATTAGCTTATGGACAAGATGTCATCTAAGGTATACACATGTGGACTTGGTCGAGTTCTCTTTACTGAGGAGTCCAGAAATCAGATGGTCAGAACCATGTTTGTCAAAGGTGGGGAGAACACTAGGGAACAAGGTCAATTCAGAGGTGGCTCAGTCATGTTATGGACAGGAATATCATTACACATGAAAACCCTGACGGTTCCCATTCACCAAAATCTGAAAGCTGTGAGGTATCAAAACCATATTCTTAAGCCAATAAGGATTCCACACATTAGAGAAAATTATGGTATGGTTTTGCTGCCACTCCTTACTCTGCCAGAACAACAAAGCAGATGCTGCACAACATCTGTGTACCTGACAGTCCCCCTTGTAGTCCAGACCTTAACCGTGTAGAACACGTATGGGACGAGATAGGCAGGAGAATGAGGCAGCTTCCCCTGAATCTAGCAGAGCCAGAGAGAGACCTTGTCAACTCTTGGAATAACCTTCCACAAAGTTATATAGCACCAATGTTAGAGTCACAGACATTGCTATGATACACTGTGGACAACTGTATTTCTACCAGACAGTGCAAGGTACATGTATTGACATGTTATTTAAGTTTGCCAAGTGAAATGTTCCAATAGCCCTTACAATATTCTCACTGGGTTAGAATTATTTTTAAATCTCAATGATTATATTCTGGGTATCTTTCAAGACATATTTGATTTCTTCCTTACTGGAAAACTATCCAGATTCGGCTCCAAATATATACAGTCGAACATTGTTATCTCGAACTCGAAAGGACTGAGAAAATACTTTGAGATAACTAAGGATTCAAGATATCCAGGGTAAAATACTTAAGGAATAAGCAGTTGGGACTGCAAAATAACTTCGACATATCCATGGTATTCGAGATACCAAAGTTCAACTGTATATATATATATATATAAATAATTTACTGATAACAAAAAATTGATTCAGTGAGTTTTATTTGTACCAATAACTTTTGTATATAATACAATTTCATTCCTCATCATCATAATGCATACATAATCTGCTGAATTTGATAGCTTTGAACAATAACAACATACAAATCATTTGAACAAAATTCAAAGAACTAAATATTTAGACCACTCATAACTGAAATAGAATAAATCTAAGAAATATAACTATAAAATAGTCATAAAAATTAACTAAAATATTTAGATAAGTGATTTAGTTCCCCTACCTTCTGCAGGCTATAGTGGAATCATTAATATTCTAGAGGAATTTGTGAACTTTTGGGGGATATTTTTCCCACGAATTTACAGCCTCAACAAAAATTATTCTTTTATAATCAAGATCTTTCATAACGAGATCTTTATACCCATGAAATTACATCCCAACCAATTTTATGGAATCCACAAAAACTGGCCTCCTATGTATATAATAACTGAATAGTAGTCATTGAAAAAGAAGAGCTTTACAACAAATGGAAATACATGCATGAAGACTAAAAAGATAATTTCATGTACATGTATATGCAGCTCAGATTTTGAACAAAATTAACACTTCTATCATACAAGTGCTTCATTAAAAAACATTCATCATTTACATAATTGTTTTACAGTAGGGAATACACTTGTAGTGAGTATCTGTTAACAGTGAAGTCCTATTTTGTCACCCAGATGTGCAAATTAATGGAATACCCATTGGATATAATGAAACACTGCTATGGATACAGTGAACTATGAATATAACAAGTTATTTTGACTGCCCTAGAGATTTACTTTAACAGTGTCATATTATTACAGTGCTGAACTAGAATGAAAGATAGAACTCTGATATAAAAGATCTAAACAAGAATGAAAAGGACTAGAATCCGAATTCAGTTATCATTTACATGCATGCACAACAATTCAGGACTAAATTTTTCTTGCTGAAATGAAGAAAGCCTCTGCTTTAAACTTTGACTTGTGATTAATAAAAGACACCTTTTTAATAGAGAACACATATTACATCTGTAAATTATTTATAACAGATTTTCCTCAATAATAAAAATCTATGAAAAGGTTTGTTTTCTAAAACACAGACTTAAATATTTAGTCTAGCAATATACATGTAACATTTATATATATATAAATTCAATTTAAACAGCTTTTGAGTTTTAAACTTTTAAAGCTAACATCAAAATGAGATGATAGAGATTGATGTTCAACAGTATGGACAACACAGTATCCTTTTTCACAATAGGAATCATATTCTTGTACATACAAGTATTTACAAGAACCAAGTTTCTTTGAAACTGACAAAGTGCCGATGGCTTTATTTTTAAAGGGTACTATTAGGTTTAAATTTGTAGTACATGTATTTTTACTTTGAAAATTCTTATTTTGACTAAATTCTGCACTTGTTTCTTGATCCTAAAATAGTCAAAATAACATTTATAAATATGTATACCTACATGTAACAACTATACTTAAATCAACAGAATTTTATATAAATACTAATTTTTACAATGAACCCTTTATTTAAGAAATAAAGCACTTAACACTGACAATATATCCTCCTGAATGTCATAATATTGAAAGTACAACAATTCAGAGTCAGTTTGGTATGTTTATATACTGTAAACGTGGAAATTTTGACGACGTGCTAATTTTGACTATATTGACGATTTTTCTTTTCTCGTCAAAATTTCCACTCGTCAAACTTCATATCATATATATGGCGTCACAAAAAACATCGACCGTTGTACAACTTTATCTCTTAATTTTCTCGGCTTCCCCCATTAAAACTAGATCAAAGTTACTGTTTAATATTTTTGTAAATAGTTATGAAAACATATAATCACAGTTTTAAAAACCATTGACTATGTCATATACTATTATTACCCATGGTCACAACATTCTAACTTTGCGTAATTATCACCACGCCGCGTTTAACCTACTTTGTCACCTCAGGCAATCGGCCTCGTATAATGAAAACAAAATACAAAAGAGCAATTAATTCAATCAAATCTTATAGACTGTATATGGTTTTTACAAGCAAAATTAATTTTTATTGATGAGAACGCTTGTAAATGAGTTCCCAAGGAAGTCGCGGTCCTTACTTATAACATCGTGAACTCGCACAGAGCGGCTTAATCGTAGACGTTCTCAAGTCAACTAAGCCAATGTTTCCATCAAGTTTTTGGTCCTCTAGCTTCTGGCGAACTTACTCTGAGTACTAGTTTTGAAACTCGTTTTTAGAAGTTCTTTGTATTTATTTTTGTTTTAATCTTGTGAAATCAAAGATATACATAACTCTTGATTCAATATTTCGTCAAAATTAACACTCGTCAATTTCCGTAAACAAAAACTCGTCAATTTTTCAACTCGTCAAAATAACCACTTTTACAGTATACAGCTGAACTTCGGTATCTCGAACACTGATATCTCTAATACCATGGATATGTCAAAGTGATTTGGAAGTCCCAACTACTTATACTTATTATTTTACCCTCAATATCTCGAATCATCCGATATCTCAAAGTTTTTTCCCCGTCCATTGGAGTTCGAGATAACAAGGTTTGACTGTATGTTTATATGTTTACAGAATTGAAGAAAAATCCTTTGTTTTCAAAAAAACTTGGTCCCTGTGATTTTGCAAACTCAACAAATATATTTGTAAAGCTAATTTATCTTATAACCACTTTAAGGGTTCATAAAAACACAGAGACAAAAAAAAAAACTTCAGACATACATCAGAACAGATTTAGCACCATGCTATTCTCGCATACATCTGTATTCTCTCTCGCTCCCCAAAATTTGATTTCTCTTGACATTTTAATACTTGGCAGTAAAACAGTATGAAAAAGTAGTTTTACAGATTATCAGAATATTGTAACAACCATTATTGACAAGTTTGCACCAAGACAAAAACTACACTTTAAAAAAAATCTTTTCATTTATTAAAAAAGTGTAACAACCATTTCTCAAAAATCACAGATTTGTAATACATTAGAGTGCAGCATCTTTGTCTTAAAGAAAAAAAAATAATGCATTAAAATCTGCTATATAAATGTATCAATTTAATTACTGTGAATATACTTTTTTTCCCACAGAGTCATAATTCTGTGAAATCACAATTTCTATTCAATCAGCGAGTAGAAAGTTACACACATTTCTTGGATTGTCAATATATTTAATGTCCTTAATGCATTTTAAGTATGCTGTATTATCAAATTTCAGCAGAAAAATTGTGAACATGTACATGGTGTAAATTAATGCCATGCAGAAAAAAAGTACATCTTCAGTATTTAATTGTAGAAATTACATGCCCACATTATGATAAAAATATTGACCTAATACCTTTACTTACACCAGCTGTTTTCTAGGAAATATACATACAAGTATATAATCTTTTACTTTCACCACATTCCATTTACAACCTTGATATTACTTCTTGAATGTATCATATTTGTTTTAAAAATATGTATAAATATCAATTAAACCTGTCTCACATTCATGCTTAATCATACAATGTTTTCACATTCTCTCTTAATTCATCTGAACCTGTTTATGGACACTTTTGTCATGATTAACTAATAAGTAGTTATAACTATAGTTAACCTTTCACCTTCCTCATCTGGGCCATCTACACATTCAGGTATAAATATAGGTCATTTACAAAGGCCTTATAAGGACCACAGAGCATTTAAACAACCAATCATCACAGACTTATCAGTAGACCCAGCTGACCGGTACCCACTGGGGTGTGGTACTCACTTGATCAATCGCATGTTCCAATTTCCTTATGGTTTCATCAATATCATTGTTCACAATTTTCAAGTCAAAATAATGTCCATAGGCTTTTTCTAGAAGTTCACTTTCTGTAGCTAATCTCTCCAAGCTAATGTCCTGTAAAATGTGAAGATCAGTAATATTACCGGTACTTGTATATGCCAATTAACAGTGCCAGCATGTCCAAAAAATGTATAACCCATGACCTCTCATACAAGGGCTGTCCCAGTTATTCACAGACAAGCATTAATTCATTATGATCCTTTTTAAAAGTAATAGCCATTAATTGTTACTTTAAGTTAGCAGAATATATAATCAATTTGTCAGACACTGTACTTATAAACCAATCTTTGTCCAGTGATGTCTTGAACTTATTTACTGGTACTGCTCTCTAAATAGTGCTTCCAGATTCAAATTTTTGTGTTTAAAGGGATCAAATTTTTTGTTGCTTTATGTTCAGAGAATGCATCTGTAATAGTCAATTTCTGATAACTCAAATTCTGTGAAAATTCAAAATTGTGTCACTTTTGTAGCATTTGTGAGATAATTTGTCCATGATTTTCTGGGTCAACCCTCAAATATTAAAGTATTGGCTTGAAATGACACATCTTGAATTGAATTGGTACTCTGTAGATTATATCTTAAAATGTAGCTTCACTTCTACCCTAATAGCCTTGAATGTTTATATCTATATCATTGTAGAAATATATTGGTATATCAAAAGGAAAAGCAACTTCTTATAAAATATTTCAACACTACATAAAAATGAGAATTGTTTCATACACTTGTCTGATTTACAACAGAGTAAAGATTTGTGAAAGCAACAACACTTTTCAACTTATCTGTTTGTAGTCTAAGTAAAATAAAAAGCCAACTATTAAAAAATGATCATCTGATTGAAAGATAAAGTATATTTGAAAAATTTAGGTGGTATAATGGTATCGTAAGCATGCAGGTACAGACTACTATAATGATAAAACTGACCAATACATCATGTTGAATTACATAACATTTCTAGGTATAAATGTAATACTTTTTGATACTATACTAGTAATGAAATACTCTTTAATATTTTCTTCACTTACATTCATATCCTTAGTTTTTCTGAGAAGATGGTCATTGAAGCGAGGAGCTGCTATAAATACTACATAAGGTGCGTAATCAGCAGTGCGTAAAACTTTCAGTGCCTGAAAATTAAATAAACAGAAAAAAATTGCCATGCAATGTGGAAACCAAATATATACATCTAGTGCCACTGAAAATTAAAATAAAATATGGTTTCAATGGTTGAGTGAACTTGTTTTGATTTAAAATAAATACATTAACATTCTTAGTTTACAAATATTAATTTGGAAAAAATTAATATTCTCATGAAATCTAAAATAGTGCTTTTTTTTTATAAAAAGCATTTTAAATAAAAATTTATTCGACAAACTATTGGAACTTAGTAGACATTATTATTTTAACAGAGTAAAATAAATATCTCCCCCTCCTTTCCCCAAATTTCTTACAATTCTGACCAGTCACAGAATGTTCCCTCAACCATTACATATGACATAAAAAAAGGCTGACAACACTGATACAGATTGAGGTCTGTGAAACAGACTACCTCCTGCATGGTGGCTATAGTTGGTGCTGCAATGAACACTATATACGGGGCATACTCCCCAGTCCGCAGCACACGAATGGCCTGTAACACACGGGCTTCGTTATTTACTTATCATAGAAGTCCAAAATATAACACCTTTTTCTTTTCTTTTTTCTAATATCAACATTTTCATTACATTTTTATGCTGTTTGTAAGATGTTATAACTATAGGTACCCATCTTAAATACTATAATTTTCTAGCAGTAGTTAACAGATTGACTTTGAAGTTTAAAGCCACATTTTATTTCCAAATTTGCCATATATTAATCAAGACTAAATATATCTTATTTTATATGTTTTGCACATTTTTGTCCGACCATCTTCTTGATAAAGGTCAGACAATAAAGTTAATTTGAAAACTGTCAAAGTTTTCTTTTCCCTATGAATACTGTACCTGTGGTTCAACATCCAGAATTGCAATAAGACCTTTGGAATGAATTTGGCGAATTGTCTCTAACTTTGTTCCATACATGGCATCCTCATGAGTGCCATATTCTAAATACTCATTAGCAGCAATGTCTTTCATCATTTGATCATGGCCAACAAAATAGTAATTTTTTCCATTCATTTCACCCTCTCGAGGTGCCCTTGTGGTATCTGAAAACAAAATATTATCAAAATGCATTCCTCTACTGTGGCCCAGGCTAGACATGGGACAAATATGACCTTGAACAGCACAAGTGACCTTGAGTCAGGGTCTGGAAACTTCTTTCATGTTGTTTACTTTAAAAGTTAGGAGCAAGGTTGAGGGTGTAAACATAGACAACAATATTCCCTTTGATCTTGGATCTTTGGGGGTATCAAAAAAATATAAATATTACTTAGGCCATCATTAAAAATATCTTTGTTTCCCCTATCCCGACCCTAAAATTTCAAGCTGAGTAGGTAGGTAGGTAAATTATTTTTTTTTATGAACAGCAGTTTTGAAAATACATTCTGAAAATTGAATAATATATCTATAAATAAGAAAGAACAAAAGAAACTGATTTTAAACCTAATATCATACAAATGAAATTTAAAAGCAACATGTATGGTAAATTAATTCACAAATATTATTCATTTGAACTTGTGAAATATCTCAGGCCAGCGTAAATTTATTGAAATTGAATTTTTACCAAAAAAAAAAAAAAAAACGTAGGCCCATGCAGTGTCACAGTATACACGTAGATGTTGGCACGATAAAGATCCCTTACTGATGCTTTATGAACAATGGCCATACATGCCGAGAAAAAGTCTAAATTAGGAGCCCTCCACCAGGCAGGTGTTCAAATGTTGTCGACCCAGCAATTTTTAAAGGTATTTTAAAGCAAAGGAACAACCTATTTTCAATGGCCCAACTAAAGAAAAGAAAAATACACTGGACGTCTCAGGAAGCCGTACCATAAGCCAACTTTAAAGATTTTAACACTATTTGAAAAGAGAGTACCTGTATAGACAATATTTAATTCAACCAAACCATATCTAAAATGATTAAAGTCATATCTAATGTTATAGTTACGAAGTTTACCCCATAAATAAAAGGAATGAAGAAACGACATCTGAATTACATTTATCAAGATGAAATAATTATACAAAGATAAATTTACAAATCCTATCATCCTATATAGTAAAAATAGAATCATACATGAAGTGTTTTTTAGATCGAAACGAATGAAATGCAGTGAAATTTATTGATATACATACACAAAGTGGGCCCCTCATCTGCTCATGAGGCTGGCTTTGTCATGCTCACTACGTACGTTAATTTTAGAAGACACATTTGTAAATGCCATGTTAACACTCCTTAGTCATGGTATATTTAATTCACGAAATGTTTCAAGAGTGTAGGATTCTAATAAGTTAAAGATGTATATCAAGATTGATACATCGCCGTTGTTTTATAACACTAAATAACCCTCTGTGGCAACATGTTGTGGGCGCCAAATGAGAGTAAAACAAAAGCCGCCATTCTGATAAAAAACGAATTTTGATGAAATTGTATTTTATAAAGTTGATAAACAATAAAAAATAAATATTTGAATAATCTTATTAAAAAAACTTTTCAGTCGGCACGATTTAAGTGGGTCAGTCGCGTTAGGGGAAACAAACCTATTTTTTATTTTGGCCTTATTTGTTTATTTTTTTAATATCTTGACCAGATATGGCTGGAGGTTGTACTCTGCATAATGAAATAAATATGTCACAAACACCATATATTAAGTCTCTATCTTGCAAAATTTAAAAGTTAAGTTGAAAGTAAACATAGACATCAAACAGACAAACAGTTAAAAAAGATCTTTTAGCAAGAGGCAACATACATTACAAATGGCTCAAAGTATTATCAATGTGTAAACATGAGGTGGAAGAAACTACTTTTATCCTTCATTACAATACATAACAACACAAGAATAAGGAAGCATTTTCATCATTTTTGTTTTCAAATTTTTCTTTTACTTACGTGGAATGGGGTAAGCAAATCGATCAGGATGACTTGTTATCAGGGTATTTTTGATGTGTCTTCTACCAACTCCATGAGCACCTGCGAATTTATTAATTAATACAGTCACACTGTAATTAAGTTGTACATATTTCCTGTTCTATCTACAGAGACTGGTACTGTTAAGCAGTTAATCACATATGTATAATGAGACTATATGAATTATACATGTACCTAATAATACTAATGTTTTCCTCATGAATGCTGGTAGACAGACCACCTCCTCATATGTATTGAGATCTAACTGGTCAAAGATTGAGTTGTGTTTGGCTAGGTATTTATCTTTCTTCTTTCTTCCAAACCATGAACAATGTGCTTCAGCAAAGAAAAAAAATGGTCCAATTCATTAGCATCTACTATACATGATTATTAAGTGTGTGAAAAACTTTCAAAACTCTTTTTACAAGTATGTGACATTAACTATGAAATGAAATCCCCCCCCCCCCCCAAAAAAAAAAAAACCAAAACAAAACAAAAAAAAACATGTTTTTCCTGTAACATGCCAAAAAAAAAAAAATTAAGGTAGGTACAGTAAAACATGCTTATAACGAAATGCGAAGTGCCAGGGATGAACGATTTTGCTTCATTATAAGCATAAAAAGAGGATATTCAATGTTTTGTAGATGAATATGGAATTTATAGAAATTATTCCAGGAGTGTGGGACAGGATTTTTTGATATTTTCACGACTGCGAAGCACGAGTGAAAATATAAAAAAATCCTGTCTCGTGAGTGAAATAAATTCCATATTCATCTCAAAAACATTGAATTTTCTGTTTATTACATTTTCTTAGATTTTCCCTTTGCCTCTGTCTTTTCGTAACACAGTGTCATAGGCTGTGATGTCATAGTTGAGCGGTTGAGACGTTATTGCTAAGCGATTGTGAGATTGAAAAACGTTGTAAACATGGATTTTTAACGACATTTTTGGAACTAGAAATATGTCCATAGGACATGAATGCCCCGCCAAGGGTATATTAGTAATGCAACATGAAAAGTTGTATTAGTTTATGAAATTTGATGAGAATATCTTGAATGGTTTCTTTAAAATTGAAATCTAAAAAGTTGGATATGGATGATAAATTCTCACCAATTATGTATAAAAGCATATGCTTACATAAATACATCTTAAATGGTTTCTTCAAAACTAAGCAAAATGCGAATTTAAGAAAAGTGAGGTCAAGGTCACAGGAAAGTTAAAGGTCAAACATTTTTGATGGAGTTCAATAGTTCTCACAAAAACTGAGTTAAACACAAATTGATAAGTGAGATCAAGGTCAAATGAAAGGTCAAGGTCAAAAATGTTGATACAGTTGAATAGCTTTCATCAGTATGTATCAGCATATGAAGTTTGATGAAAATATCTCGGATAGTTTCTTTGAGACTGAGCTTTGAACTGAGCTAAACGCAAATCGCTACGGAAGGACAGACGGAAGGATGGAAGGACAGAAGACGGACATGACAAACACTATATGCCCCGGCCATTTTCATGGGGGGGCATAAAAACTTTGGCAGTATAACTATTAGTCTCTGTCAGGATGGCTCTTTAACTCCATCTTATAACAGGCCAGGGATTTTTTTAAAAACACTCTTCGTGAAGGGAAGGAAAATCGTAAGTTTTGCTGCACTTCTGAAATTCTAACACTGTGAGAATACCATTTTGATATCCTTTCATGCTGTGTCAGAATATAACTTTCATTCAGTAAATAATTTACAGTATTTCACTTGAAAATGTAATAATTTGTTATATCTGTTAATTAAGTTTACAATATATTTTAAAGTCATGGGGAATGAAAATCACTTCGCTATAAGCGTCAATTCATGATAAGCGTGTTTGCTATAAGCGTGTTTTACTGTAGATATGGGATAACTTTTTTTTTCTTACTTTACTTTTTATTTTAAAAGTAGCAGATGGTTACTCATTACACTGTTTTTCATCACATATATTAGAAAGGCACATATTTGAATAAACATACACAACAAAACAAATGAACTCTTTCAAACACTTGGATAGACACATTTCTACTTAGTCCGAGGCATCCATTTTATTGACTGTACTAGGAGAAAATCATACCAGACTAAGTGAACAAAATTATGGTTCAAAAATTGGAATTTGGAATAAAAAGTAGTAGGGACGGTGGGTAAAATTAGGGCTGGTCGGGTTACTGGAAACATGCATTTTTTTTTTAAGCTAAATGAAAATCATATAAAATTAACCAGAGATGCGCAGAAAGAATGTGAATGGACAGTATACCTCTATATCACAAAAGACAGGTATCACAATAAAAGAAACAGAAGACAAGTACCTGCATGCTCATGTCTGGCTTTTTCCCTTGAGGACATTGATGTCCTCCACTCCTGAAGTTCTGGGGAGGGAATGAGACCTGCTGGGGTAGTAGGGGCCACACCCCATAACTTAGCCTGCCACCAATTAGAGTCTTCTTTATTTATGATCTACAAAAAAGAACTTTGTATATAAATTGAAGCATTATATATAGTTATTTTACATCGAAGGTTTCTTCAGGTTGTGAGATTATGAATTTTATGAAGTACTGGATAGATTTTAACATGAAATTATGTTTCTTCTACCAATATTGTACTCACTCTTAAAACATCCCCAACTCTAAAAGACACTCCAGCCTGTGGGCAAGGAATCATATCATCATCCTCAGGATTATAATCAAACAGGGCCCTCACAAAGATCTACAAATACATTTGTAACATCATCAGACATCTCTGGTCAATTTGTATGTCTAATAATTAGACAAAATAAGAAGCACATTTCAATATGCATACATGTTTAAAACATGTTTTACTCTGGTAAACAATTTGTTTGTTTGTATGTTGTTTAACGTCCCTCTCGAGAATTTTTCACTCATATGGAGACGCCACCACTTGCCAGTGGAGAGCTGCAAATTTTGTCCTATACTCAGCACTTACGGCCATTGAGCAGTGAGGGATCTTTTTCATGCCAGCACCTACTGCAACACGGGACCTCGTTTATACGGTCTCATCTGAAGGACCGGTCTCCACGTCCAACAGTGGGATTCGAACCCACGACATAAGGATCAACTCCTTACTCCGCGACTCTAGAGCAGATGCTCTAACAACTGTGCCACGCGGGCGACGTAAACAATTTGTAACAAAGTTTGACTGCATATTTTATCTCCATAAAAATACAAATTTACAACATAAAGTTGACCCTTTTTAATATTGCCACATGGAAGGCATATATGTTTCCAAAATAGTTTGTTTTTTAAAAAAAAAAATTTAGAAACATATATGCCTTCCATGTGGCAGTATTAAAAAGGGTCAACTTTAAATTTAGAATGTCTACAATTATAGTGAAGAAATGGATAACCTACTAGTCAAGCTCAAACATAATTCCAAGTTTGATCTCTATCAGACCTTGATATCATTAGAGGTGATTAATTTCTTGAAGGGTACTAGTGTACCATGTTTGATGTTTGTTAAGCAAAGGGTTCTCCAGATACTGAGCAGTCAAATCTTCCTATGTTCAGTTTAACCTTAACTTTTATCTTGCATCCTCAAAATCTACATGGGTCATCTACTAGTGTACCAAGTTTGATGTCTGTCAAGCAAACATTGATTGGTCATTATCTTACTATGTTCAGTTTGACCCTTGACCTTAAAATCAACGAGGGTTATCTACTCCCTATGGGGAACTAACATACCTAGTTTGACATCATTCAAGGATACATGAGCAGTCAATATCTTCTTTTGTTCAATTTGACCACTCACCTTTGATTTTGTGACCTCAAAATCAATAGGGTCATCTACTCCATAGGGGGAACCAATGTACCAATTTGATGTCAGTCAAGCAAAGGGATCTGAAGATATTGAGTTGACAATATCTTCTTATGTCCAGTTTGATACTTGACCTTTGACCTTGTGACCTCAAAGTCAATAGGGGTCATCTACTCCTAAGGGAGAACAAGTTTACTAATTTTGATGTCTGTCAAGCAAAAGGTTCCTAAGATACTCAGTGGTCCAGTGTGACACTTGATCTTTTGACTTTGCAGCTTTAAAATCAATAGGCCTGGGGTCATCTACTTCTTAAGCGAAACCAGTGTACCAATCAACAATGCCAGTCAATCAAACGGTTCTATAGATAATGAGTGGAAAATATCGTTGTATGTCTTGAGGAGTTTGACCCTTGACCTTGTGACCTCAATATCAGTAGAGGTCAACTATTTCTTAAGGGGAATCAAGTTTGATGTCAGTCAAACAGGGTTCTCAAGATACTGAGCTGACAACACTTTGTCTACTGACCAGTTGACCAAAAGGTACAAAACAATATGCCCCCTTTTTTCAAGGGGAGGGGGGATAAGAATACTCTACTCCTGAACTTTACCAATGACAGTGGGATACAATGAGAAGAAACAATGAAGAATCAATTTCTGAGAATGAAACTGACACAAAATTCTCTTATTTTATTGCATATGAATTAATTCCAGTTCCCCCATATCATACCTCTTTGTGTGTTCCATTTTCATTTCGTTCCTTATGCACATTGCCTGAAGGCTGCGGAACAATTTTGAAGGTGACATTGCCACTTAATGATTTCTGTGAAAAGATAATAAAAGTTGACTTTATGGAACCTTTAGTTGTACAAAGTTATTGCCAAGACGCCGCTTTATGTCTGTTAGAGGACACTTTTGTGGTGTCTCTCTTGTCTGCCAATTACATAAAATCAATATGTTTTCATGGAAAAAAGAGTATATTGTATCTGTCTTAGTATCAAATCTGTCCTGAAAAAAAAATGCTTCTTGTAACTGTCAAGACATTGCTATACAAGTATATCAAGCTATAGGCATTTATTTCACTTATATAAGCTATCATAGATAAATCAGAAAGCTCTTTTGCTGTATTCATAAAGGTATGAACTAGAAAGTTAAGTTGCTAGAAACACTAATGCCAAATTAGCCTCCTTGCTAGAAACACTAATGATGAATTAGCAAGCTCAATTGTTAAAAACACCAATAAAGAATTAGTAAGCTCAAATGTCTAAGGCACCAATGATGAATTAGCAAGCTCAGTTGTATAAGACACCAATGATGAATAAGCAAGCTCAGTTGCTAGGAACTCTAATGATGAATTGGCAAGCCCAATTGTTGAAAACACCCATGAAGAATTAGTAATCTCAAATGTCTAAGACACTAATGATGAATTAGCAAGCTCAGTTGCTAGAAACACTAATGATGAATTAGCAAGCTCAGTTGTCTAAGACAACAAAGATGAATTAGCAAGCTCAGTTGCTTAGGACACCAATGATGAATCAAAAAGATCCAATGCAATTTATAATAATGCTACGTTGACACTTTGTAACTCATATAATGAATATTTACCAGCATTTTCTGCAGATTTTCCACTGTCTGATTAACGACACTAACTTCATTTATTTCTCTAATTTCATCTCCAACATGAAGGGTTCCTGTTCAAATAAAAGATTTTGTTCATAAAATGGATGAGACTGGAAAATGTGAAAACATTAATGGTTCCCCCGTTTACATAAATAGGATACTAAAGTGAAGAACTGAATTCATTTCCTGTTCCATTATGACACATGATATGCAACCGCCTCACTTTAAGCATATTATTTTAGACCTTCCCTGAAAAAAATACACACAAGATTCATTTGGGAGGAATTTTTCCTGCAAACACAGCTCATTTTAAACCCCTTGTCTATTATCATATTCCAAAGTCCTCTGCTGTGCTCTGATAGGATATCATATTTCATGTCCATATGTTTTCTTGAACTTCATGTGTCAAACTTGAGTTATGAACAAAGTTGCATGCAAATAGGTTTTTTTTTTTGGCAATGAAATAATGTAATGACATTAATGAAACAATCTTTTATTATTTGTCTAATTAAGTCCCCATTTGGCAAGATTCAACATTTCTCTGGTAGTACATGTAATTAGCCCCCCATAGTATCCTGAAATTGGATAAATGACTAATTTTAATCAGTGACTGGAATTAATTGAACATTTTTATGACTCATTCTTTTCTTTTTTGTGGCTAAGTAAATAACACATGTTGTATGGGTGATGATGTCATGTCCCCTATAATCAATTGGCATTGGAGCACATGATAATAGCCGTTTAGCCAGGAACCCAAAGGTTACTGGTTCAAGCTCCATTATGGGCACTTGATGTTGCATCCTTAGACAAGGCACTTTATCTGCAGTGTCTCAATCCAACCAGCTGCTATGGGTACTGGCTTAGGCTGGAGATTAACCTGTGATGGTCTAGTGTCCCATACAGGGGGAGTCAATGACTCATCTGCTAAGCACCACATAAACTGGGTATAAGTGCTGGCCTTATGGCTCCTCGAAGGAATTAACTTTTTAATTAATCAGAATGCTCTCATTCACTAATAAATACTACCTGTAGTTTAAAATCTTTAAAATCCCATTCATGAAGTTTCTAATTATTTTTATAAGTGTAATAATTCAATTTGTTATCCCTTTAAAAATTGATTCCTATATAAATCTTTACTAAAAAAAAAAGTCTAACATTTCCAATGTTTTACTGAGCAGTCATAGAAAAAATTGATGTTTGACCGCCGAGTGAGATATTGGCCCTGTTGATGAGATATTGGACAGCTTACATCACACTGTGGGTGGGATCAGCTAAATCTTATTTGCATTTGTTGGTGCTCAACAGTGACAGAAATGACCAAGTTTTAGTGCAGGTAAAGGAAATTTACATCATGGAAGCCAGCACAAGATACATGTATTTAAAAAAAAAAAAAAAAAAGTATAACAAAACATTTATTGACTGTGTTCTCTGAGAAAATGTGTTTGGTCGACCCTTTGAACCAAACTGTTTGCCTTCGACCTAATGGCCTCTAGTTTTACTTTTGTCATGGTGGGCAGTCTCTTAACATTTACTATGTGAAGCAATACGAGATTTGCTCAATGCAAGAAACAAAATTCTTTCAGCTGTATCTCCATACCTTGTCGATGGATCATTCCTCCATGCATTATCCTAGCAACTTTACACTGACCAACTTCATTCACCCTTAGAGTAATTCCCTGATAAAAAAGACCAAATAATTATACAAAATGCAAAAAATCTCCTACTGAGGGGAACAAACAGTTTCAAAAATTCAGACCCCTACAAAAATGTATAGCAAAGTGTATGCAAACTTTAAAAATGTCCATAAACATGATAAACAAAGTTACACAATTTAAAAAGGTTTTACATTTTTATTTGGATAAAATGTACATTCATTTTCACATTACTATCAGTAATGGGACAATAACAATTTAAAAATTTCTCGATTAGAATAATCTTACCATGGGCTCATCCTTGTTTTTCTGGAATTGGACAAGTCTTACACGATTGATTTTACAGCCAGGATCCATCTCAACTTCTGGACTTGGGGGCTGTGAGGAATCACCATTCAGGCTGGAAAAAGTCTGGATTGGAGGGGGTGTGACGCGAACGGCATCCTCTCCATAAACCTCATGTGCTACCACATCATGTGCTTGAAGTAAGGCCTGTATAGAACAAATTACACATATAAAATGCCTACCACATGTGTTACAGATGATTGTAAAAGGACTTCAGCTTTGATAATTACCACATTTCACCATCATTAGTAGCTATTCTCATTATTATCCATTTAAGTGAAAATCGTGTCAATCAGAATAACTATGGATTGAAACTGTCATAAAATCCTGCATATTGTCATTGAATGCAAACATTTCCTCATTGATTTTTGGAGGGAAATGAGCTAATCAACATATGTGAATATGACTAAAAAATTAAAAGCAGTGAAACTCTGATCTGACTCATGTAAGAAAGCAATTTGTTGATGTGACAGAAACAAATGTATTGAATCACAATAAAAACTGACAGCTGTTTCAAATAAAGCTCTCCACAGCTTTGAAGTTTTTGTTCTCCACATGGCAACATGGATTCAATGCATTTCAGATGCTAAGATCATTCATAAAATTCAAAATATTTCTGTTTTCAATGTGAATCATTCAATAACAATAGCATTTCTTTGCACTAAAATATAGGACACTTATTTTCCATGCAATATAAAAGTCCTGAATAACAGCAAATTTTTTTCTCTTATAATAAACATGAAAAAAAAAATCAATCTGTTATCCTTGGAATCATTTCATATCAATGTTATGCATACTCAAGAAGATATCTGAATGTTTTCTTAAATGCAACAATGATATTTTAGTACCTACTATAAAAACAGGGCACACATCACCCACTGTTAATGAGCATGAACTCATTGAATTCAAATGCTTAAATTATTTAAGCTCCAATCTTACAGATACAAAGGCAATGGCCTTTGATGGTTGAATTTCTGCTTTTCTGTAGTGAACGACCTTGTTTCAAAAATGATTTCCCATGCTTTTAACTTAAAATTTTGTTCTTTTTCATTTGTAAACTTTATTCAAGTACAATTATAATGCTGTCATATAATTTTTGTTTTAATACTCCATTGACAGAGAAGAAGAAAGATTTTGGAATGATTCATTTACATAATCCTTCAAATCAAGAGGAGAAGGTCATTTGTAAAAGTTGAATCTATAATCCTCCTAGTAAACCTTTTGAAAATGTGGTTTAAAGTAGATTTAAGTGGTTCTAGAGTTAAGTGGTTTGAATTGGATTTAAGTCGTTCTGGAGTTATGTGTGGTTGGAAGTGGATTTAAGTGGTTCTGGAGTTATGTGGTTGGAAGTGGATTTTTAAAAGTGGTTCTGGAGTTATGTGTGGTTGGAGGTAGATTTAAATGGTTCTACAATGTACATGGAGTTAAATGTGGTTTGAAAGTGGATTTCAGTGGTTCTGGAGTTGTGGAGAAATTATAAATGTGAAGAAAAACCCAAGTATACAAACAGACTGCCAAAAAACAGAGATTTAAAAAACTTTTCTTCTTTTTTTTCAAATTATATGTGAAAGATTGAAATTTATGATGAAGGTGAAAATTAATGGTTGATTGTAATTGGTGGATTGAAATAAAATCTTGTGCTTGAACCCCCCCCCCCCCCCCAACACACACACACACAAAACCCCACAGCCATGATTGATACTTTGAAGAATTCGACAAAAGTCCATATTTATAAGACATTTATAACTCCACCAGGAATTATGAGTTCTTCCCTTAATTTAGGGTGATATGTTTCATTTGTATCCATATACGACATTGGAAGCAGTTTTAATGGAAACTTACTTTGACAAGTTGCTTCTGAAAGCTAGCTTTTATTACAGTTAATGCTAGGGAGAAGCAAAGTAGATTACTTGAATCCAAAAGTTGATTTTTTGGGCTCAAAAAAAAACAGAATAATTGAGCCAGCATTTACTGCTGTTGGAGCCATTAATAAAAAATGTTCTCTCGATACAAATCAGATATCTGTAATGATCTGAGCATATAGGAAATGGGATTGATATTTTTGTCTTTCGGAAACATCTTCAATGTAAGAGAAAGACATTGGAAGACCCACTTATTGTAGATTCCATTAGCAATCATGCAGATTTCTTGTTGACGATACTCAAATTTCTTCTGGAAAGTTTGACGTAGTCAAGATATTACTTAGGTTTTAAAAGGAAATAAGTATTCTGTAACCTTTCTTTCAAATTAAATTATTGACGTACATTCTGCTGTTTGTCATACATTTACACATAAAAAAACAAGGAAATTAAAAGGTCAATACAATATAATAAGTATGGATTAAGTACATGAAAAGCTATGATACCATTGGATAGAACATCTGCATTAATAAATCACACACACAAAAAAAAGGGGGAAAAAAAAACAGAGAAAGTTTAATAAACAAACAGAGAAAAGCTATATACCAGCATCTGTATAGAACATGTTTTTAATATGACATTGTTTTTTTTTAATCAGACATGTATATTTTAGTAATATTATGATAATTTTAATTGCACCCTGTTAGCAGTTGAACATATGACCATTAATTAGATCAAACATTGTTAATTATTACATTATCATAACTTGAAGTACATACATGATTATCATGCACATCTTGGAATTATTTATCTACATTTATTTATCTTGATGAAACATTATCATAAACATTTTATGGAATTTCATACAGTACAATATCACTGCATAAAGCATTCATTGCCTTATTGTTTACTCAAATTATTATATTCTTGTCCCTGAAAATTTCTTTCATTCACTAAGTATGTTCACGCAGTTAGCTAGTCTAACCTTTCTTATTTCCATGTACATAAGAACCGCATCAATGTTAATTGTTTTAATTACAGAAACACACCTCATCTCTAGGAATACTTAGTAGTAAACTATATCAAGAAAAACAAAATGGATATAAGGAAATACCCTAGACACAAGACGTTTCCTTACTCATCTCTTTGATAATTAAATCAAACAAATTTTAAAAAGATGCTCCGCAATTAAACAATTTCCTTACCTTGCTGGCTAAGAAAACTCCAGTGAAACCAGCCAAATATTTAGAACTGATGTCTAAATGGCCTTCTAAATCAATAAATGTCCTCCCTCTTTATCTCCGATGAACTCAATATCAACAAAGGTTTCACTTTCCTCTTTCCTTTATATTATCTATGGATTTGGGGGCAAATATAACAAACCTGATAGAAGAAGCTGTACCCTAACACTTATTTCCATGCCCACATGAGCACTGCTTATAATTGTACAAAGAGGGAGGAGGAAGAAAAAAATAACCCCAAGTTCTAGATGTGATAACAATTAACTAGAGAGGGAGGGAAGGATGATTGTTTCACCAGGCTTGTTTTTTCTCTAACTGGCAATAAAACCATTATCAATGGGAAAATAATCATATTTATGTGCAATCAAGCTGGATACTGTTTTATTGGAATCACAACATTTATAGCAACAGGCATATCTGTGATTGGTTAAAATCTTCTGGAGGGGAGAATGGCACTTATGGTAAATGAATTAGACTTGCATAATAGTCAACTAGCCAGACTGGAATCTGAAACTCAATTCATTTTAATTGATTGGACCTGCAATAGAATTTGATTCCAGTGGGAAGCCGTAGCTATCATACACAGTCTCAATGGTGTGGAAATCCTAGGTGGATTTTAAAAGTAGAAGTTATGATGGTGCCAAACCATAATAATAAGGCATGCCAGATATCAATTATAGTGGTTTATTAAATCAAATGTATAAGGCAGAATGCATAAAGGTTAGAGAAGTATGAATGAATGACCTCTAAATGTGAGTACAGAAAAGATACCTATCCCAGAATACTTTTCAACCTTGGATTACAATGCGAGCTTATAGAGCATTAGAAAATATGGACCGTTTTCACATTTACAGTGAATGTTACCTTAATAAGAGTAATTAAAGTATAATTCATGTTACTAATAAATGGTCAAATGTATTTCGAGGCATTCCACAATGCTTTTAAATTATTTACAAATATCAGTATATATATTACCTTTTAGAACTGAATATATACTTCCTATTACCAGCTTTAATCTCTGTTCAAGAAAAAAATGATCAAACATTTCCTGTTGTAACAGATGAAAACCAGAATTAAAACCCAGTACACCGGCCCCCTGAATTGTAAAAGGTGCTATACAATATGAGTTATCCACCCCCACCCCCCTTGAACTGTAGAAGGTGCTCTACAATATGAGTTATCTGGACCCTGAACTGTAGAAGATGCTCTACAATATGAGTTATCTGGCCCCCTGAACTGTAGAAGGTGCTCTACAGTATGAATTATCTGGCCCCCTGAACTGTAGAAGGTGCTCTACAATACGAGTTATCTAGGCCCCTGAACTGTAGGAGGTGCTCTACAATATGAGTTATCTGGCCCTCTGAACTGTAGAAGATGCTCTACAATATGAGTTATCTGGCCCCCTGAACTGTAGAGGGTGCTCTACAGTATGAATTATCTGGCCCCCTGAACTGTAGAAGGTGCTCTACAATACGAGTTATCTAGGCCCCTGAACTGTAGGAGGTGCTCTACAATATGAGTTATCTGGCCCCCTGAACTGTAAAAGGTGCTCTACAATATGAATTATCTGGCCCCCTGAACTGTAGAAGGTGCTCTACAATACGAGTTATCTGGCCCCCTGAACTGTAGAAGGTGCTCTACAATATGAGTTATCTGGCCTCCTGAACTGTAGAAGGTGCTCTACAATATGAATTATTCCCCCCCCCCCCCCCCCGAACTGTAGAAGGTACTCTACAATATGAGTTACCTGGCCCCCTGAACTGTAGAAGGTGCTCTACAATATGAGTTATCTGGCCTCCTGAACTGTAGGAGGTGCTCTACAATACAAGTTATCTGGCCCCCTGAACTGTAGGAGGTGCTCTACAATACGAGTTATCTGGCCCCCTGAACTGTAGAAGGTGCTCTACAATACGAGTTATCTGGCCCTCTGAACTGTAGGAGGTGCTCTACAATACAAGTTATCTGGCCCCCTGAACTGTAGATGGTGCTCTACGATATGAGTTATCTGGCCCCCTGAACTGTAGAAGGTGCTCTATGATATGAGTTATCTGGCCCCCTGAACTGTAGAAGGTGCTCTACGATACAAGTTATCTGGCCCCCTGAACTGTAGAAGGTGCTCTACAATATGAATTATCTGGCCCCCTGAACTGTAGAAGGTGCTCTACGATATTAGTTATCTGGCCCCCTGAACTGTAGAAGGTGCTCTACAATATGAATTATCTGGCCCCCTGAACTGTAGAAAGTGCTCTACAATATGAGTTATCTGGTGCCAGGACCAATGAAACTGACTTAGACTTAAGGAGGAGAAGGACACATGGTCACATGACTCTGTTTAACTACGTCATAGTCTCCGTTTATATAAGAGCAAAGCGTGTAAAGCATCAGTTCTTGTATAATTTTTTTGATATTTTTTTAACTTTAATAACCATCTTATATGAAAAAAATAAAAAATTTTAAAATTCTTGTAAACATTAACAAATTATGAAAAAGATTGATCCACTCCTCTGTTTCCCTAAACTGCGCGTCCAGCAAGTCGGTGACGTCATACACGATCTGTTAGTACAGCAAGATCATACTCAGTGAATACAGGGGCGGCGTTACTTTGTTGAAACAGGTCTTAATCAGTATATGATAAAATATTCTGAGACACAGGGAATACAAAAATTATTTTTGCATGGCTGATGACGGAAATCTTAAGTAGGTATATCTTCTTTCGCTTATTTGGCTTACATGTGACGTCATAGTTGGTTTTTCCCGTACTCGAGAAATGTAAACATGACATGTTTTTGTCATGCTTATGTCCTCTTTAACGATGTCCTGTGCAATATTGAGGTCAGCTTCACCATTCGAAATTTTTACAGTTAATCAATAATTTGAAGGACTTACATTTCAATGTAAATTTAAAAATATTGAATGATAGAATTTTTGGTAAATTACGTTTTTTGTTGTTAAAGTTGTCTTAAAAAGTACGTAATTTTTGCTATCCAGATGCAGTGTGATAGAAGAAACTTGCTTTTTCGAATTTTAAACCCTATTCATACTATGAAATATTTTAAAAGATACATGTCCACTTACATATTTTTTATCTTTGCTTAAAAAATCCCATTATGGACAGAGTAATGGGCCCGGAAACATGGAGAACTAAAACTCTACATAGATGCTGTAGGGCATGGTATTTGTCAATCAATATCTCTAAAATAAGGTAAGAAACCTAATGATATAACTGCTTTAAGATATGTGGGACATACTTAATAAGAAATATACAAAATATGAAAAAAATTGAATGACAGGTATTTTTTCAGCTCAAGGTCCTTCTTCCCCTTAAGTCAGATTTTCAATCACCTGTTCAATGTGTATTAATTTTCAACTTAATTTCTAAATTTGCAGATAAAAGCACTCTGGTGATGCAATATTGAAAAAATATTTTTGATTTGGTCTGTTTGACCTCTACAACATTTCAGTATCATATAAAGATTTTGATGTAAGCTTAAGATGTTTCATGATCCCCGGGCCTGGCTATCACTAACTGCATGAACCTGCCTGACCACCACATTATGACTTTGTACCCACCCCCACCATTCCATATCTTCAGGGCATGGCATAGTGGCAGATGTAGTTGGAATGGAGAAAATGCATCTGTGGACTGGATTAGGATTCAAACCTGGGCCACCTCAACTCTTAACAGGTGCTCTCAATTTCTTAATGTAAATTTCAGTGAGGGATTCCTTACATTTGGGTAGGAGTACTACTACAATGGACCTCTGATGAGGGCAATGAACACCTTGTCTTTTATTCAATCACTCAAAATGAGAAGATTTGGCTCCAAAAGAAATTTTTTTTTATACCTTACCCACTACAAAAATCTTTCTTGCTATGATATTAAACATATAATAGCAATATATTGGAATGCTTTATATATTCATCTAAACATAGCAAAACAGCCATAAAGAACTAGGTATGCTAACTCTCGATTCCTGCCTACATTTTACACCCATTTAATTCAATGCTAATGGCAATTTGGCCATAAATTCTTTGTTGAATGCAAAGAAGAGTTCAAAGGTATTCCATTAATAATTTTAATACCAATGCTAAATAATTAATTACTATATTTTCAAAAAATATTTTCCGTTTTATTTTTATAGTGAAAATCACAAGTTTTACCAAAATTATAGAGTTATCTCTCTTTGTTTTCCCAAATAAGTAATGTTTTGTGAAAATCCATATAAATATCTATATGAATATGAAAAATCATTCAAATATGTCAACTTTTGAAAATTGACTTGGAGGTAGGCGGCAGAACAATACTATCGTTCGCAGTTCTTATACAGGCTCTTCAGAGCCTTCTAAATCTCTTAAAACTTGGTAAAAATGTGGCATCTCTTACACAACTTACACAAAAATGTTATTAGTTATTGCAATAAACAGATGTTCTGTAATGTTTTAGTCCTTAGCATCTACAAATGACAGATGATATTTGAGTTGTTGAGCAATTATGAGGAAGCACTAATAAAACCTATTAAGTACATGCAGTAGGAAATCTGACAACTCACCATTACATGGGGTTTAGACAGAATTTGTTCTAATTCTTGGCACACAGTAGTATACTCTTGTGGACAGACTTTCATCACATTGTGAACCTAGTGTTATGAAAATAAACACTTGAAAGTATAAATTATGCCATATTTGGTTTTTACTTGAATTGAATATTCTTTAATTCTTAAATTTGTAAATGGCTAAGTCAATAGATATCATAATCATTTAATGTCCAGGAATAATAAATACAATGTATATATTATTTTCATGAAAGTTGGTGATTTAGGGAACCCTTTTCAAAATACATTTTTTTGTAACGTTTTAAATTTATATAAATATGATCCATTTTAAACGTCTTTGTCTTAAAAAGAGAGATCTAGAGCATGTTCCAATTTTCTGAGCACCCTTACTCCCTTAAGGGTCCTTATAAAGGTACCATATATATTCATGATTCATAAATGAAATAAAACCAACAACTACTGATGATTCTAGGCATAAAGAGATCACTGAACAATTTATTTGAGTCTTTCATGTAAAACATATTTACCGGATACCTCTTCTAGACTGGAGATGTACAATATAATTTTTATACAAGTCCTTAATGATCTTTAACTTTCTGGGTACAACTTACCTCTCTAGATTGGAGATGTACAATATATAAGTCCTTAATGATCTATAACTTTCTGGGTATAAATTACCTCTCTAGATTGGAGATGTACAATTCATCCTTACTCTTTGAAGATGTAAAATAAGTCCTTGACCTATATCTTATTTACCTCTATTGACTGAAGATGTACAATACATAAAGAGTCCTTAGTATTTACCTCTCGTGACCTCTCCACAGCATCATCTGGGGGAGGGTGGATGGGGCTCACAGTCTGTGTGTTGATCTTATCATACAACTGTAAAACGAAAGTAAGCAAGTCTCATATTTTATTACAGGTGGTCATGACCAAAATTGTTATTAAAAGATTACTACACATTTGGTCTATACAGTCATTTTTGAGTCAATATACTTTTAAAGAGTTTATAATGGTCATTAGAGCTCAGCACTTTCTTTTCTAATTGCAGCAATGAACTTTGTTAATCTTATTTACCTGCAATAAATACCTGTTACTAAACATTTCTCCAAGGATCATGAAATAAATTATCTGGAATACTCTTCATACAAAATGCATGTTCCAATTAGTTTTTATTGTACATATATTACAAATTGTAAATATCGAGAAATAATAATTACGGTGAAACTTGGGAGAACTTGTAAATACATTATTGTATCTACCTTAGTAATGTTTTCCCCATGTGTGTAATGTCTGAACCAATTACGAGTAATGAAATTTGAATAGGATATTTACCACAAATCAAATACATTTGTCTGCAAGACTATCTGAATACATTTCAAGATGCTGTGCGAGAGGACCATTGTAGCAAAGACTTATGTAGCACTTTCAAATGAAGTTTTTTTTAAAATTTCATTGGCACATGTATCTTAAAATAAGGCATTAACATGAATGTAATGTGATATGATATGCCACAAAATTTCTCCGTGAGGAACTCAATACCAAGAAGATAGAGAGCTCAGGAAAATGTCCCAATCAATACTAAAGACTACACAATCATATATCTATTTTTCTAGAATATATTCTTTTTCTTCCAATAATAATAATGATAAAAGAAAAATAGAACCATAAGATTCTGTAATGCCAATGTTTCTTTGTCAGTTTCTGCTCAACTTTGGACTGAAATGCTGCACTTTTGAAACATGTCATGTATCTCAATGCTGTTGGCTTGAGTAGTTCAAGGCACTTCAGGCTTATCTCCCATTCCTGTTTGAATTCTAGTTTCTGAAATTATCCACTTTCTTAATTTCACTACTCCTTAACAAACGCCTTAATGACATCCACAGATCTCTACCAGAGGGGGAGAGGAGTCTCTTTCACTCTTGACGGATTGATCTCACTCATTGAGTGTTTGACAGATCTATTCCTTATTTGTCATGGTTTCCAGCAAAAGTGTTGCAGAAATAAGTCAAGAAAATCAATGATTGGGGCTCTTATACCAAGATCTGTGTGCTTCAGAATTCCAGAAACTGTCGACAATTAATTCAATAAAACTTAATGCATGACACAAGAAGTGGCATTCATTTGGTTTATTGTGTTTGATAGAATGCTTCATTGCATGACCTTCTGTTTGCTTATGCCTCATATTACATAAACAAGAAGTATAACATGCCAAGACTCACTGTGAAAAATTTTACCAAGACAACTGCAGATTTACTATGAATTTTAAATAAATCATCAATTATTGTCAATGATAAAAATGAATGCATAAAAAGCAATAGAAACTGATTGATTTTTTTGAAAAATTTAGTTTGGATATAACAACAAGTAACACATGCTAAGGACATGCATCATTTGCATAGTAATAACTAGTCAACCCTTGGTGATACAAAAAAGCATCATAATTAAATCATGAAATCAATAAAATCATTGAAGGATGATCGAAGGACTTCATTAAGTAGCAGACTGACAGACAAAAGGCTAACAAGCATATCAGGCTTAATTAGGTTTGGATCAAAAATTTCTGACCTTCCTTTTCCTTACTGCAGCATATTTGGTGTTTACAACTTGAGCACACTCAGAGGAACGAGCCTGGACTTGTTGAGTGGACTCAGCAGCAGCAGAAGTCATTTGCTGGTTGGCATACCTTTCTTCCTGAATTTTTAGAACCCAGAGCAAAGCACACAGTCTCACCATGGATCTCTCATGGCGGTTGTTGAAATATGATTCCACAGCATTAGAGGAACTCATGCTATAAGATGGCTCAAAAAAGGCATTCCTTCTACAGCAAAAGAAATTCTGAGCAAAAAAGGAACGCACTCTGCCAAGAAAATCTCCCAACTGGCGCATCTCAAATTATGAAAGAGAAAACTTGTCAAATATATCACTGATCTTATCATTGACTTTCAGGTGAGAAATTGCACCAACCATGGCTGAAGATATAACACAGCACAGAATTCAGGCAATTAGAGAAGTTTTCAAATGCATGCTTCAAATTCACCACCATTCCAACAGAACTTTGCTTAGTAAAACAGTTCATTTAATTGTCTCTGCTCTACTTGAGTAGTTCAGTCTAGACTAAAAAGCAATTCACGACAGCCAAAGTCTTCGAGATTTTTCCCTAAAGAAACAGAAAAATCTGTCTACAGTTCCAAGAGATACACATATATCAAGATTAATATTAGAGCTATAGAATGTCATACATGGTGTCAGATTAATCCAATTGATTCCCAGTAAAAGATCTCAGTTCTGTAGAATAGCAGCCGTGTATAGGAATCCTTTCTCAATGTCACTTGTACAGGACAGTGATATTTAGTGCCATTTTCTCCAATAACAATCATCGTTATCCAGTGGCGTTTGCAATGCAGGGATTTTTGAAGTAATTACATTGCCATAGTGCCTATTTGATGACTTCAAATGAAACGTTACACAAACTTAACGTATTTAACTAGTAACTGGTAGAGTATTGTCCTAGCAGGACGATTACCTCCACATGGCAAACACCGACACATAAAAAAAATACTACGTTTGAATTTTCGTTCTCAATATTTCCCCTACATCCTTTTTTTTTAGGTTTGCAAAATTACAGCCATATCAAACTACTATAACCCATGCATTATAATGCTACGTACTTTCTATACAAGATTGTTCTAAAATTCTTTTTCCTCTGGTATTGACCATGGTCAACTTACAGTGAACCTATATCTGTTGTCCTATAAGATACTTTATTTGTATGATGGTATACAGTTAAAGTATATCATTGAGGGAGTCAGCAAGATTTTGATTCCCCAAAGGAAAGCCTCGGGAAATAGGCTTGCTCTTGGGGAAAGCCTCAGGAAAAAGGCTTGCTCTTGGGGAGAGCCTCGGGAAAAAGACTTGCTCTTGGGGAACTGGAATCTTGCCGACTCCCTCAATGATCTACTTTAACTGTTCTATTACACCAATACAAAAAATAGACCAGTTATCTTGTAAAGTATTGCAATTCTATTTTGAACTCAGTGCTACTATAAGGTGGGCTATGGAAATGTCGGTTACCCAGAATGTAGATAAAATAAATGAATAAATTCAATAGAAAGACATTGCATTTAATTTAATGATCTAAAGAATACATGAATCTGCAAGCAATATTCCGTTTATGAGGCCCAGCCTCCTTATATGTAACTTTAACTGAGCAGCGTTATGAATATTCATGATATTATTTGGAAATTATCGGAACTTTTCATAGGATAAAAAGAAATTGCAAGGTGTTCTGATTAGGTGTGTAGCAGTTCATGAAAATGATGCATCTATCTGCAGGGATCAGACTTTTTATGGTCAGTAAAATTATAACATCTATTTACTCTTATTTAGAAAAAAATCAGTAGAGGTGTAATATAATATCAAATACTACATTAAAATACCTACAATACAAAGTTATGATGCTTACAAATCTTCCAATATGGTATTCCTAGTAGCCTTGACAATGGTTCAATGACAAATTTTCTATTTAATGCATTTATCATCTCAAGTGATTCACTGTTACAAATGGTAACAAGTTGACTTAACAGACAGATGGACAAAGATCATTTTGTTTTTTCTTATTCTATAGTAATTCCGTTCTAAAAAATACTGCTAAATTCTTAATTTTTCCCTAATACTTTTCAACCTTTGACAACTATATGCACTGCTGCAAAATTTGCTTCACACTTTAGTTATGACCATGGAGAGAAAATTTCATTTGGATATTAATCTGGCTCAACTTTAATTGAGACCTTGACCCCTGACCCTGACAATCAATACATGTCCAATTTTTTCCCTGCCCAAGGAATTACGTGCATTATTTGATTTTTTATGCCCCTTGCAAATCTTATTATTTTTCTAATGCCTATGAAACTTTTCTACATAAAATTTGATTTAAAAATAAAATTTCTTTGTAATTTAAAAAAAAAATTTTTTAAACAAAAACAGACCAACAGTGAGCCAGACAGACAAACAAACAGTAATATGAACACAACAAATCCTTTGTCTGACACAAAAAAATACATACTCTGTCCTTCACAATTGATTGGCCATTGCATGCAGCTTAACAACTCTCTCTTTCTCTCTCTCTAAATAGCATTATGAATGCAGTTCTGTTCTTCTTTTCAATTAAACCCAATGGAAATGGGTTTTTTTTATACAAGAACTTAACAATCCAGAGTATTGACTCTCAGATTATGTCTTATATGATCTAGTTCAATTGTATTTGCATATAAAACAAATAGTCTCTACCAAGAATAAGATAGAGAAGCAGAGATTGAAGTATTGAACAGAACTCCTAATTCCCATCAACATAAAAGTCCTGCAACCACCGTGTCACATTTATTGTACTTTGTATACCTAGTATCTTTTCCTGGTTTGCGATCATAGAAATGACATGCTATACTTAAGAGATTAGATTTAATAGCAGTGCACTACTAGCAAGTCTTGCTTAATAGTTGAAAATGGCATATTACTTTCATTTTGGACTGAAGTATGGTAAAAATATGCACACTGCATTTTGTTTCTGGAAATATGCAGCTGTTGTCATGATAAAGTATCAACAGAACAAATTAAAACTACTTCTTTAATCTTTTATTTTTTGCTTTCTAGCTTGTGTTCCAAGACTATTTGTAACATTCAGATAAACAGATGGGCAGGTTCTTACAAGATGCTTCTGGTCATGTATAAAAAAAATTCCACACACTTCATCAAACTTTTAATTATATCATTACACACACACACACACACACACACACACACACATATATATATATATATATATATATATATATATATATATATATATATATATATATATTACAAATCTTGCAGTATTGAAGAAT